ATCGGAAGCAGACTCTTACCTTAACAAAGAGTTTAAAACTCAAGTAATTGGCCAGGATCATGAGCAAGCAGCGAAAAAAGAGTCAGACTATATTATCTTACTTTGGTGACAAAGAAGATCAAAATATACAACCAGAAGGAGACAACAAAGTCAAAGCTCCTACATCCAAAGCCTCCAAGAAAAATATAAATCAATCCCAGGCCTTGGAAGAGCTCAAAAGAGATTTTGAGAAACAAGTAAGAGAAGTAGAGGAAAAACTGGGAAGAGAAATGAGAGTGATACAAGAAAATCGTGAAAAACAAGTCAACAGCTTGCTAAAGGAGACCCCAAAAATACTGAAGAAAATAACACCTTAAAAAATAGCCTAAACCAAATGGCCAAAGAGGTCCAAAAAGCCAATGAGGAGAAGAATGCCCTAAAAAGAAAAATTGGCCAAATGGAAAAGGAAATTCAAAAGATTACTGAAGAAAATATTTCCTTAAAAATCAGAATACAGCAATTGGAAGCTAGTGACTTTATGAGAAATCAAGACACTGTGAAACAAATCCAAAAGAATGGAAAAAAAAAAGAAAACAATGTGAAATATCTCATTGGAAAAACAACTGACCTGGAAAATAGATCCAGGAGAGAGAATTTAAAAATTATTGGACTATCTGAAAGCCATGATCAAAAAAAGAGCCTAGACATCATCTTTCAAGAAATTATCAAGGAAAACTGCCCTGATATAGTAGAACCAGAGGGCAAAATAGAAATTGAAAGAATCCACCAATCTCCTCCTGAAAGAGATCCCCAAAGGAAAACTCCTAGGAATATTGTAGCCAAATTCCAGAGTTCCCAGGTTATGGAGAAAATATTACAAGCAGCCAGAAAGAAACTGTGGAAACACAATCAGGATAACACAAGATTTAACAGGTTCTACATTAAAGGACTGCAGGACATGGAATATAATATTCCAGAGGACAAAGGAGATAGGATTACAACCAAGAATCACCTACCCAGCAAAACTGAGTATAATCCTTCAGGGGAAAAAATGGTCATTCAGTGAAATAGAGGACTTTCAAGCATTCTTGATGAAAAGACCAGAGCTGAATAGAAAATTTGACTTTCAAATACAAGACTCAAGTGGAACATGAAGAGGTAAACAGGAAAGAGAAATCATAAGAGACTTATTAAGGTTGAACTGTTTACATTCCTGCATGGAAAGATGATATTTATAACTCATGAGACCTTTGTCAGTATTAGGGTAGGAGGAAAAAAATTATATGTGTATAGATAGATGATAGATAGATAGATAGATAGATAGATAGATAGATAGATAGATAGATAGAGGGCACAGGGTGAGTTGAAGATTAAGGGGTCATATCTGGAGAATAAAATTAAGGGATGAGAGAGGATTATACTGAGAGAAGAAAGGAGAGGTAGAAGGGTAAATTATCTCACAAAAAAAAACAGAAAAGAAAAGGCTCTTACAGTGGGGAAATGGGGAAGGTGAGAGGGAATGAGTGAATCTTATTCTCATAGGATTTGGCTTACAGAGGGAATAACATACACATTCAATTGGGTATGGAAATCTGTCTTACCCTACAGGAAAATAGGGGGAGAAGGGGACAAGAGAGCAGGGGGATGATAGAGAGGAGGGCAGATTGGGAAAGGGGTAATCAGAAGCAAATACTTCTGAGGAGGGACAGGGTCAAAAGAAAGAATAGAATAAATGGGAGGGCAGGGTAGGAGTAAGGGAAATAGAGTTAGTTTTTCACAACATGGCTACTATGGACGTGTTTTGCATAACTGCACATGTATAACCTATATTGAGTTGCTTGCCTTTTCAATGAGGGTAGGTGGGGAGGGAGGAAGGAGAAGATTTGAAACCTAAAGTTTTAAAACCATATGTTTGAAAAAAATGTTTTCACATGCTAGTGGGAAATGAGAAATACAGGAAATGGGTCACAGAAGTCTATCCTGCCCTACAGGAAAATCGAAGGGGAAGGGATAAGAGAAGAGGGGGAGAGATAGAAGAGAGTACAGAGTAGGGGAAGGGATATTCAGAATGCATGCCATCTTGGGTTGGGGGGAAGGGGGAGATGGGGAGAAAATTTGGAACTCAAAATCTTGTGGAAGTAAATATTGAAAACTAAAAATAAATAAATTTATATTTTAAAAAAAATTTTCACTGGTACAAAGGACTGGCTCAAATTGTTGAAGGGATAAGTAAAAAATGCCACCTAGATGTTCAGTTCTCTTCAGAGACAGACCAGTAACCTGCCTGACACTGGAAAGCTTTGCTTACCTGAATCAGTGTGATGTCCTCATTGACTGTGCTTATTGACTGTCCGCCTCTGCAAAGACTAAGTAAACTTTCTTTTGAAAAAAAAAAAAAAGAACACAGAACCTTACAATCTGCTGCTTACGAGAAACACATTTGAAAAAACAAAAACATACATAAAACTAAACTGAAGAGATGGCAAACATTTTAGCGTGTATAAAATGAGCCCAAAAAAGCAGGTGTTGTAATCACATTACCTAACAAAGCAAAAACAAACATTGGAAAAAATAGGATAAATAAGAAAACTACATTATGATGAAAAGAATCCTAGGCAACAAACCAATAGCTGTATGTCTTCTAAATACCTTAGTATTCAGATTTATAAAGGAAAAACTGACTGAGCTACAAGAAGACAGAGAGAGGAATACAATAGTAACAGGAGACTTCAATGTCCCTCTCTCAGTTTTGGATTAAGTCTTAACAGAAAGATAAACAAAAGGGAAAATGTGGAACTGAACAAAGTGCTAGAGAAGCTAGAACTAAAAGCCATATAGCATCTTGTAAATGGGACTGCAAAAGAATTTACATATTTCTAACCATCATATGGAATTTTTATAAAAATTGACCATGTATTAGGGCACAAAGAATAAACAAATGTTAAAAGGCAGAAATTGCAAATACATCCTCTTTAAACAATAACTCAATAATAATAATGTGACCACAAACAAAAGACCCAAGTGGAGACTTAACAATTTAGTGCTAAATAATCAGTGAATCAAAGAACAAATCATAGAAATAATAATTATGTGGGAAGAAACGTATAATGATGAAACAACATCAAAATTTTGCGGATGCAAATAAAACAGTCCTCAAGGGAAAAATCATATCTCTACGTGTATTTACTTATGTATATATGCGTAAACAAATGGAAAAAGATTAGCAAACTGAATGTGCATTTTAAATTAGAAAGCAAACCAATAAAGCTAAACTAAGATAATCACAAAAGAGAAAATATTAAAAATTAGAGGAGAAAATAGAAAAACAGGAAACCCTCCCAAAAAAAACATGTTAAAATGTTAAATAAAACTAAAAGCTGATTCTTTGAAAAGACTAATAAAATTTATAAACCTTTAACTAATTTGATTTTTTAAAAAGATGGCAGAAAATCAAATGAAATGGCAAGTAAGCAAAGTAGAATCACAACAAAACCAGAAAGAAAATAAAAATAATCAGAACGTATTATGCATAGTTATATGCTGAGAACACAAAATAGAGGAATACCTTCAAAAAATATAAAATATACAAACTGTCAAAAAATAAGAGAGAGTTCTTAAATAACCCAGTCTCAGAAAAAGAAATAGATCTAGCTGTAAAGGAACTACCAAATTAAAAATTCTAGATTCTGATGGAGTCACAAGAAAATTCTATCAAACTTTAAAAGACAATTATTACCCATTCTTCGCAAATTATTCTCAAAAACAGAAAGAAAGCACTCTACCAGAATCTTTGAGACAAATACCTAAACCAGAAAAAGATAAAACACAGAAGGAATACTATAAGCCAACATCATTAGTGAATGTCAATTCAAAAAGTTTTTAAACAAAACCCTATTAAACAGATTACAGTGGTTTATCCAAGAAATCATGCATTATGATCAGGTGGGATTTATACCAGGAATGCAAAGATGGTTCGACATTAAGAAAACAATCAATATAAGTAATTACATTAAAAATCAGAACATCCAAAACCACATGAAAAGGTGCAGGGAAAAAAAAAACATTTTACAAACTACAACACTCTTTTATGTCCCAAACTCTACAAAGTATGGGTATAGAGGGATCTTTTTAATATCATAAAATGCAACTATCTAAAACCAAAAGTGTGTGCCATATGTCATGGGGATATGCTAGAACCTTTCCAAATAGATAGAAGAATAAGGCAAGAATGCCCATTTCCCTCACTTTACTTTCTGTAGTTCTGAAAATGTTAGCAGCAGCAATAAGATAAAAAGTAAAATCACAAATATAGGTAAAGAGTAGATAAAACTATCCCTATTTGCTAATGGTAAAGTGGTATACTTGGAAAATCCTAGAGAATCAGCAAAGACACCAATTGAGATGATAACTTTAGCAAAGTTGCAGACTATTAAGAAACAGAAGAAATAAAACTTGGGATTCCTCTCTGATGGCATCCTATGGAGTTTCAATCTGCAGTGAATCTTCTTTATCCAGTATTTCTGGATTGTTTTCTTATGTTATTTCCAGGGGAAAGTCCTTTTATTGAAAATACACCATGGTAAGATTGAAAGAGGCTCAAATTTGACTTCTAACTCACTAAGTGTCCTATAGAAGCAGTCACTGCATAACTCTGGGCCTCAGTTTTCCTATCTACAAAATAGAGGTGGAAATGATAATCCCTCTCAACTCTAACATCATGTGATTCATTTCCTTCATTAGTGCTATATACATAAATGGCCTTCAAATTTTAGGGCATAGTTTAGGGTTCTAAATATGCCTGATGTGTTTCTGGAATATTCCTTTGCAAATGGAGGTAAAGGCCAAAGGTCATAGCGATTGGGAAGGGAGGGGGGAGAGGAGATAGAAGACATCTAATCCAACTCCCTCATTTGACAGATGAGGAAACTGAGGCCCAAAGTGGCAAAAAGACTTACCAAGGGTAGGTAGGCATATACAGAATCAAGAAAATTGAAGAAAATGGTGGTTGCTTGCTTTCTCAGATGGAGGAGAAGCCCAAACAATCAGACTCATCATCGACTACCTGGAGGGAGGTAGACAACTACCAGAAAGCCATGACGAGGATGGCCAATGACATCCTGTCCTTGCGTAGGCAAGTGACCTCGCTGGAGACAGAAAACAACTCCCTTCGGCAACAGGTGTCCACACAGGAGCGGATGGGTCATGCCTCTCCGGAAGATGAAGAGATGATAGGTGAGGGAATCTTGAGATCCTCCATGCAAGAGGACCCTGGAGCAGAAGGTCCCTGGTACTGGTGGTTTTGTTCTTGAGAGGGTGGGTAGATAGAAGGGGAGTTTGGCATCATATGCCATGATGGTGAATGTTGATGATTTTTCAAAGTGGCCTTCTTTGCTGCTTTAGGACAGCACCAATGTTCTGTGTTCAGGGCTAGTTCCTCCCAACCCCTGGATAATAACACATATGTTTTGGGGGAAGAGGGAGCCTGGGGAAAACCAATTTGTCCACGGAGGGAATGGAAGGGGAGCTTTACAAAAGTAAGCCCAACGGCAGAATTTTTCATCTTTCGACCTGGTCTGTTGGGTCTACGCAGACCCAAGCTGAACTAATCTTTGGTATGGTTGGGGGCTTGTTTGGGCTGGCAACGGTGCATTGAGCTGTCCCCAACCCTACCCCAACAGCAAACATGAAGCAAAGACTTTCCCACAGCACCATGGAAATGAAAAGGTTGAAGGACAGGGTGCAGCAGCTGCAGAATGAGTTAATTCGGGTGAGTGGGACCTTACAAAGAGAGGAAACAGGAGGGAGGGCTGGGTGGGAGGAACTGGGGCGGGGGGCCAAAGTGGGGAGGCAAAGGGTGGAGGGAGGTATCAGTCCATGGTGGGTGGGTCAGGAGAGGGGATGGTTTTCAGTGTTTCTCTCTGTACCACAACCTCCCTGACCCCGACCCCGCCATCCTTACAGAAGAATGATCGGGAGAAGGACTTGTTGCTAATTCAGCAGTCTCACCAGCAGCAGCAGCAAAATCTGAAGAGGTGTCAGGACAAACTGCAGAAAATGAAGGGCCTGGAGCAGACTGTGAAGAGCCAGGAGAAGGTAGGCCCACCTAGAGGCCAGGCAGGTAGGGCGAGGCACCTCACCAGGCAGGGGGGTAAGGTCAGGTCCAAGACCTAGCACCTTCAAAACGAGCTAAGCCAGTAGCCAGAGAAAGTGAATCAAGGAGCGAGGATAAAGGCAGGCACACGGGGAGGAAATGGGAATTCCTTCATGGACAGATTGGACTGGGTGGCCACTAGGGTCTCTTTTAACTCTGGAATTTTGTGAGTTTAGAAGACAAGTCTGCATGGGTAATACCCACAAACACACACATTCACACACACACACACACACATACATGCATGTATACACACACAGACATATATATACCCACAAACACACACACACACACACACACACACACACACACATTATCACCCTGGCTAGGAAATTAGAAGTCAGGGTCTAGTCCAGGAGTGGGGAACCTGCAGCCTAGAGGCCACAAGTGGCCCTCTAGGTCCTGAGAACATGAGGCCTGGAGGCTGCAGGCTCCCCATCCCTGGACTAGTCCTTGGGAAAATCCCTTCCCACCTCTGCGCCACTGTTTCCTCAACGGGTCCTTGATAATTTTTATGCCGAGGACCCTTTTGGCAGTGCGGTGAAGTCAATGGAGCCCTTCTCAGAATACTGTTTTAAGATGCATCAAATACATAGGAATTCCAAAGAAACCAATTAAATATTGAAGCAGAGTTACTGAAGTTTTCAGCAAGTTCATAGACCCCAATGCCATCACTGAGTACACCTGGGTCTCCCTTCCTGAGCCCTGAGCAAGAGTGAGAGAAGGTGAAGAGAGAGTAGCCCATGTTCTTGGGAAGCTCCTGTGACTCTTTTACTCCCTAGCAAACCCTTCAGTCCAAGGTGCAGAAAGTGAGATTCATTCTCCTCATCGAGTGTACAGCACTCTGGGTCTCTGCTCCTATACCTGATTGTTGTAGGTGGACACACTCTCAGAGACTGAAGGGGAAGGGCACCTTAGTGAGAAAATCAGTCAGTGGGCAGCCTGGACTTGGAAGCTCCCTTGTCAATCACAAAGATATTGTGATTAAGAAAGTCTGTTAACTTTGTACACCTGGATCAGGTGAAGTTTACCAAACTGGTTAGGATCAGGAGAGCCTTGCCCAAATGAAAGCTGACCAGAGCAGTCACTGGGATCCATCAGAAGGGAGTCAGGGGCTAAGTCATTTCTGTCGATCCTCACAGACTCACACAGAGAACAAATTAGAGGCCACCACAGCCCAGGGTATGAGCAGTGTCAACAGGAGACATGCAGACAATGAGAACTCATTATTGCTATTCTGACCTACAAACACAACTCTATGCTAGGCTTGGGCATCATCTTCCAGATCCAGTCAAATAAATACCTCCTATTTCTACAGCACTTTAGAGTTTACAAAGTAAATAGGTAGAGAAGGTTTTATTGTTATTGAGTCGCTCCAGTCATGTCCGAGTCTCCATGACCCCCATTTTGGGTTTTTTTGGCAAAGATGCTAGGGTGGTTTGCTGGTCCATTCTCCAGCCCATTTTACAGAAGAAGAAACTGAGGCAGACAAGGTTAAGTGACTTGACCAGGGTCACATAGCTAGGAAGTGTCTGAAGTCAAATTCAAACTCAGGTCCTCCTGACTCCAGTTCGGTCCTCTATCCACTTTGTCACCTAGTTTCCGGGTTACCTAATAAGTGGTGGAGACAGCACTCATTTGAAGTTCTCATGACTAGATCTAGTCTTTTTCCCCTCCCCCTATGCTGCTTTTCATTAGGTCATTTCAAACTTGGGAACTTTTTTTAAAAAAATATTTTTATTTCAATATAATTGCCTTACCTTGTAAACCTCTAAGTTTGACTTTATGAATTAAAACTATGATTCTGAAAAGGGGGTCCAGACTTCACCAGACTACCAAAAGGGTTCTTGACACAGAAAAGGTTAAGAACCTCTGATCTGGGGCCAGACAATGAAGGTGAAGACAATTACCCCAGAACCCTTTTCAGCTCCAGGTGAGCAGTACCTACCCCTTGACTGGTTCACAACTCCCCATTCTTTTCCTTCTCTCTGCCCTGCAGGTCATTCAAACAATGGAAAAGATCTTGGAGGACAAAGTAAAGCAACCATCCAGAGAAAGGTCTGACTCAATGTCATCACCACTGGTGCGGCCTCTGGGAAAACACACGGGTAAGTCATGTGAATTCTGAGTAATTTATTTTGACTCAGTAATTATTCATCTTGAACCACTATGCACAAGGCCCTGGGATAGAGCCTGAGAGGGCCATAAAAAGGAAGAAGACAAGGGATCTGCCTTCAAGAAGCTTAAAATCTAGAAGGGGGCCCCACCCTTCAGCCTCATCCCCAAGATGCATGACCACCATCCTGAAAGAGTCCAGACAACCAAGGAGTCATCTCTGGCTACCTATGCAAATAGTTTCTCTTTAACTTATTCCATTGACAAGTCTTTACGGAGTACAATCCGTATACTCAGTGCTATGGAGAAGACAGAAGACACAGAGCCTCGCTTCAGGGAATTCCCATTGGGTCAATGGGATTATAGCATGATCTCAAAGCCCTGTATCTTCCAGGTCACTCTTCTCTGGGCACTCTCTAGTTTATCAATGTCCTTCCCAAAATGCAGCCACCTAAGCTAACCATAGTGCTACAGTAGGGCAGCTAGGCAGAGCACTGTACTGGAGTCGGGAAGATCTGAGTTCAAATCCTGTCTCAGACACACTCTGAATGACCCTGGACAAGTTACTTGACCTCTCTGGGAATCAGTTTTCTCATCTTTAAAATGAGGGGGTGGACTTGATGATCTCTAAGGTGCCTTCCATTTTTCAGTCCTATGATTCTGTGAGTGTGTGGTCTGTCCTGAGCAGAGTACATTGGGGAATCATTATCTCTCTCTTCTGGATACTTCCATCTCTGAATACAGTCTAAGATCAAGTTAGCTTTTAGGGCCACCCCATTGTACTGCTGACACATATTGAGCTATCCACTCACTAAAATCTCCAGGTCTGTTTTCAGACAAACTAATCTCTTATCATCTCTCCCCAGTAGTGGTCCTGTGACATTGACTTTCTGAATCCAAGTGAAGGAGTTTTCACATTTATCCCTGTTATACTTAATTATTAATAATTATTAATTATACTTAATCTTGTTCTTTATCTGGCTTAAAACGCTAGCCTTGTCGGGGAATTCTGGATCTTAGTTCTGACATCAGATTGTCAACCTTCCTCCTTAGCTTTATGTCATCAGCAAATTGAAAAGCATTCTATCTAGGTCTTCTTCTAAGCCAAGCAGAAGAAAGCCAATCCCTCTTCTACTTGGTGATACCTGGAAAATTTTAAGACACCTGCCATGTCACCTCTAAATCCCTAGATATCCTAATTTGGCATAGACTCATAGCCCTTCACTATGCTGACTGCTCTCCTTGGGTATTCTTTCGCCTAACATTGTCCTTCCTAAAATGAGACACCCCCCCCCAACTGAACCTAATACTCCAGGTGTGGTCTGACCAAGAGAGGGTATGGCAGGACTGTCACCTTGGGCCCTCCGCTTTGCTTATAGCATAAATGCATATTTCTTCCCCTCCCCCACTTCTGATCTTTTTTTTTTAACCCAGGTGTAAAATCTTACGTTTATCTAGAGGTATACTGGTAAATATTTAACAACTAGCTCACTGGAGAAAAAAAAATGCCTAAACAATTTTAAGTTTAATCAGCATTATTTACATTGTGTGTATCACTTTATTAAGTCTAGACAACGAAACAATAAATCCAGCCCTGATTTGTAATGTTTGCCAGTTTCTGAGGTATATATGCTTACCATGAAAATTTAACAATCAGCTCTCTCTCGAGCCTATCCTCCAACAGAGCCTTGCGTTTATCCCTATTAAATGTCCCCTTATTAGATTCAGCTCAAATAGCTCAGCTTGTCAAGATTTTTTCTGAATCCTGTCTCTATCATTCAATAGCTTAGATATCCTTCCTTGTTCTGTGTCAGCTACAAAAATTAGATAAACATGATATCTTACATGGGGCAGCTATTTCTATTGGGCCCTCTTCCTTCAGAGAAAGAGAGGCTCTACAGAGTGACTCATGAATATTCACGAGTGCCACCTCAGACTGCAGAGGAATTCTATTAATTCCTATATTTAAATTTACCTGAGTTAGACCCATCCAGGGGCCCTTTACTATGATGAGCCAACAGGCAAGGCTCCTTCTGGGCCTATGAGCCAGTTGGCCCGTCCTTATCACTGGTATATTCAAGTATACCTGAGGTCTACTTATCCTAGCTTGGTGCACTTGTAAGAGGCTTTACTGCCCTTTGTCTATCTCAGTATAAAACCACACAGCTCCTGACATCTGCTGGCAATCTATAACCAGTTCTGTTCAGCAGATCAGCTTTAGGTCATAGATTTAGAGCTAGAAGAGACCTCCAAGGCCACTGGTTCCATCGCCTTCCCTCTCATTTTGCAGATGAGGAAACTGAGACAAATAGAGGTGAAGTGATTTGCTGAGGGTCACAGGTAGTGAATGTCTGTGGAAGGATTTGAACTGACTCCAAATCTTTTGTCCTATCCACTATGGCTGCTTCTGTGGCCTAAATCGAGTTGGCTGTCTGGGTTGCAGTTTTACCCTGAACCAGGCCAAAGCAGGGAGCAGGTGCAGCAATCTAAGTAAAGAGAACATGTCCTGTGCCCTTCTGTTGAGGGAATATGTCCACTAAATCATTTAGTGTACTAGCGATAAATCCTCAGTTAATAAAATGAATGTAACACTTGACTTCATCTATTTTAGATTATGAACTACTTGAGAGTAAGGACTGTCCTTTTTTTGTATTTGTATCTCTAGTGCTTAGCACAGTGCTTGGCACGTACTAGTATCGGCACATAGTATACATTGATTAATGGATTAAGTACAAAACCACACCCAGGTCTCTGGGTCATTTCAATACAACCCTCCTTCCAAATGGAGATTGATTGCATACACCTGAACCACTTCTAATTTCGCTTTGCTGTACTACTATCTAGCGCTTATCTCTCCATCTTGTCCACAAAATATTATGAGAGATTGCTAAATGCTTTGTTAAAAATCTAGCTATCTCTATCATTCCCCTTATCTACCAGTACAGGAACTCAAGAAACAAATTTTTATTAATTTATTTATTTTTAGTTTTCAACATTCACTTCCACAAGACTTTGAGGCCCAAATTTTCTCCCCATCTCATCCCTCTCCCTACCCCAAGATGGCATGCATTCTGAATACCCTTTCCCCTAGTCTGCCCTCCCTTCTATCTCTCCCCCCACTTCTCTTATCCCCTTCCCCTTCAATTTTCCTGTAGGGCAGGATAGATTTCTATGCCCCATTTCCTATATTTCTTATTTCTCAGTTGCATGTGAAAGCAATTTTTTTAACATTTGTTTTTAAAACTTTGGATCCCAAATTTTCTCCCTTCTTCCCGCCCCACCCATCCTCACTGAGAAGGCAAGCAGCTCAATATAGGTTATACATGTGTAGTCATGCAAAACATTTCCATAGGAGTCGTGTTGTGAAAAACTAAGTATATTTCCTTAATCCTATCCTGCCCCCCATTTGTTCTATTCTCTCTTTTGACCTTGTCCCTCCTTAGAAGTGTTTGCTTCTGATTACCCCCTCTCCCAATCTGCCCTCCCTTCTATTATCTCCCCTCTCTCTCATATCCTTCCCCCCAATTTTTCAGTAGGGTAAAATAGATTTCCATACCCAATTAAGTGTGTATATTATTCCCTCCTTAAGTCAAATCTTATGAGAATAAGATTCACTCATTCCCTCTCACTTTCCCCCATTTCCCCTCCACTGTAAAAGCCTTTCCTTGTCTGTTTTATTTGAGATAATTTAACCCATTCTACCTCTCCCTTTTTCCTTCTGCCAGTATAATCCTCTCTTGCCCCTTAATTTTATTCTCCAGATATCACCCCTTCATCTTCAACTCACCTTGTGCTATCTATCTATCTATCTATCTATCTATCTATCTATCTATCTATCTATCTATCTGTCTGTCTGTCTATCTATACATACATACATACATATAATTTTTTCCCTCCAGCTACCCTAATACTGACAAAGGTCTCATGAGTTACAAATATCACCTTTCCGTGCAGGGATGTAAACAGTTCAACCTTATGATTTCTCTTTCCTGTTTACCTCTTCATGCTTCACTTGAGTCTTAATTTAAAAGTCAAATTTTTTATTCAGCTCTGGTCTTTTCATCAAGAATGCTTGAAAGTCCTCTATTTCACTGAATACACATTTTTCCCCTGAAGAATTATACTCAGTTTTGCTGGGTAGGTGAGTCTTGGTTGTAATCCTATCTCCTTTGACCTCCTGAATATTATATTCCATGCCTCTGTCCTTAATGTAGAAGCTGCTAAATCTTGTGTTATCCTGATTGTGCTTCCACAATACTTGAATTGTTTCCTTCTGGCTGCTTGCAATATTTTCTCCCTGACCTGGGAACTCTGGAATTTGGCTACAATATTCCTAGGAGTTTTCCTTTGGGGATCTCTTTCAGGAGGAGATCGGTGGATTCTTTCAATTTCTATTTTGCCCTCTGGTTCTAAAATATCAGGGCAGTTTTCCTTGATAATTTCTTGAAAGATGATGTCTAGGCTCTTTTTTTGATCATGGCTTTCAGATAGTCCAATAATTTTTAAATTCTCTTCCTGGATCTATTTTCCAGGTCAGTTGTTTTTCCAATGAGATATTTCACATTGTTTTCTATTTTTTCATTCTTTTGGATTTGTTTTACAGTGTCTTGATTTCTCATAAAGTCACTAGCTTCCAATTGCTCTATAATTTTTAAGGAAGTATTTTCTTCAGTAAGCTTTTGGACTTCCTTTTCCATTTGGCCAATTTTTTTTTAGGATTCTTCTCATTGGCTTTTTGGACCTCTTTTGCCATTTGGGTTAGGCTATTTTTTAAGGTGTTATTTTCTTCAGTATTTTTGGGTCTCCTTTAGCAAGCTGTTGACTTGTTTTTGATTTTCTTGCATCACTCTCAGTTTTTCCTCTACTTCTTTACTTGCTTCTCAAAATCCTTTTGAGCTCTTCCATGGCCTGGGAATTCATATTTTTCTTGGAGGCTTTGATGTAGGAGCTTTGACTTTGTGGTCTTCTGTTTGTATGTTTTGATCTTCTTTGTAACTAAAGAAAGATTCTATGGTCTGACTTTTTTCAAGGTTTGCTCATGATCCCAGCCAATTACTTGAGTTACAAACTCTTTGTTAAGGTAAGGTCTGCTTCCAGTGGGAGAATGTACTGTCCCAAGCTTTGGGGTTTTGTGCAGCTATTTTCAGAGATACTTCTAGGGACTTGTAAATTTTCAGTTCTTCCAAGGTGTTATGATCAAGGGCAAGGTGTTTACTCCCTTCCTGGCCTGTGCTCTGGTCTGTGAGTGACTACAAGCACTGTTTTCTGCCTTGGAACTGTGAGAAGGATTTCCTCTTAACCACCACTACAAGCTCCACCACTCCAGCTCTCCTTCTCACTCCAGGACCACCATCCAGAGCTGCAACTCAGATCCAAGCACAGGCAAAGCAAGAGATTCCTGCCTCAGCACCAGCAAAGAGATCCCTGTAATCCCCCTCTGATCAGCCACTCGATTCCCCCTCAGTCTATGAGCTGGAAGCTCTGCAAGCTTCAGAGGCAGCCGCCACCCCGAGGCCACACTCAGAGACTGGGACTGGGACTGAGCTTCTCTCTCACAGGAGTCACAGACTTCCTATTGACCTTCTAAGTTGTATATGGCCTTCATGGGTTGAGAAGTCTGCAAACTGCCACAGCTGCCAGCAATTCGGTCCTCTGAGGGCTGCTCTAGGTTTGCTGAGGCCTATTTTGCCTGCACTCCTAAGCTGAATTGTGTTCCTCTCACAACCCAGCATGCTATACCTTTCCAATCAACCATCCAGGTTGTCTTGGGCTGGAAATTTGTTTCACTCTGTCTTTTGTGGGTTCTGCTGCTTTAGAATTTGTTTAGAGCCATTTGTTATGAGTATTTGGAGGGGTTTGGGGGAGAGATCAAGCAAGTCACTGCTTTTAGTCTGCCATCTTGGCTCCGCCCCCCAAGAAAGAAATTTAATGAAGCTATAATGTTATTGTTTAAAATCATCACTCTTGGGGCAGCTAGGTGGTGCAGTGGATAGAGCTTCAGCCTTAGAGTCAGGAGGACCTGAGTTTAAATCTGGCCTCAGACACATAACACTTACTAGCCATGTGACCCCAAGCAAGTCACTTAACCCCATTGCCTAGCCAAAAAGCAAAAAAATAAAAAAATAAATCATCAGTCTTTCTTCTAGAAGTGCACCAATAATTCTTTTGATATATATTCAAAAATTTCACCAGTAATCAAAATCAAATTAATTGGCTTGCAGAGCCCATCTTCCCTTTGTTGAAAATTTCCCTTCTTCAGTAGGGTTGTTCATCCTTTTTGAAGACTACTAACAGGAGCTGAACAATCACAACCGCTACTTCTTTCAGTATCTTGGACTGGTAATTCAGCCTGTTAACTTGAATCCAGCGAGGACAGTTGGGCACCATCTTAGTATTTCTTTGCTTTTCTTTGGCTCCAAATTCCTAATAGTCATTTTGGGTCTATCTGTTCCAACTCAAATATTATTCTCCTTGGCAGAGAAAATTGAACTGAAATTAGAGTTAAGTAGTTCTCCTTTCTCTTGATCATTTGTTTACCATTTAGGTAGTTAGGTAGAGAAGTGGATAGAGATCTGGAGTCAAGAAGACCTAAGTTCAAATCCAACCTCAAATAGTTACTAGCTGTGCGACCCTGGGCAAACTTCTGTTTATCTCAGTTTCCTCAAGTGTAAGAAAGGGATAATAACAGTAGGGTGGTTATGAAGATCAAATGAGATAATATTTGTAAAGCCCTTAGTGTAATACCTGGCACATGGTAGGCTCTGTATAAATGCTTATTCCCTTACCCCATTGTCTGAGGCTTCTCAAGAAGTAGTCCTCTTCCTTCTCTTCTCCCCAGTAAAGTCTGTGCTTTTGGCATCCTTTGCAAGCTTTAGCATATCATAAGCTTTAGCATTCCTGACAACATACCTTGCCATACTTTGGTGTCCATTCTCGGTCACTTTGTCTTGCTTCTGTCTTTGGCACATGTCCTTTAATAATCTAAGTTGGTGCACCTTGTGCATACATATTGGTCTCTTTAAATAGCTTCCCCCTGTTCCTTCCTATTGAAAATGTTTCTCTTGGTGCTTTGAGAATTTCATTCTTGAGAACTTCCCTTCCTCTTTGACTCCTCCTATAGAATTTTAATCCATTGGATCGTGCTTATCTTTCTCCGAACCCTTTGAAATATGCTCTCTCAAAAGCTGGGGGATGGGTCCCACTGGGATCAGGTTTTCTTTTCTCTCTTTATCACAGACTTTAAGATCTCCATATTGTCTGCTTCAGCAAGCAAGCCTTCCTTGCTGGTAAGAATCTGGTCTGAGTATTTCCTCTTTGCTTCTTCTACCTCTCAAAGGATTATTTGCTTATTGGAGAGGTAGGGCAGTTAAGCCTAAAAGCATCCCCGTCCCAGAATTCAATTGCATCATCGAAATGGCCAGCCTCATATCATCTAGAACACTAGTCAGACTACTCAGTATATTGGAAGGCTTACTATTGCCTATCAAGAATCATGGGATGATTGATTTTAAAGGCAAATAGGTCCTTGGGGATCATCTAATCTAAATCCTTCATTTTACAAATGGGGAGACTGAGGTTTAGGGAAAAGAAGTGATTTGCCCAAGACTACCAGGTAATTAGTGAAACAGATCCAGATGCAAACTCAGGTCATGAGGTACCAAACTTAGTGGAATTCTTCTCTACAACCCCACATTGCCCCTCTCTGTGCAGGATAGAGTAGAAAAGGAGAAGCTAGAGGCAGGGAGCTGAGCTAGTACAGGATTAGAGCAACTTAGCATTTTTCAGATTTTCTCCTCCCCTTAGCCCCCCCCCCAACTCAATTAGATTCAATAAACACGTATTAGGTACCTACAACTTGCAAAGTACCTCGCTAAGTGCTGGAAGAGTTAAGAAGTTTAGATCTTCAATAAATAAGCATTGATTAAGCACCTACTATGTGCCATGCATGGCTGGGTACAAGTACAAAGAATGAAACAATGCCAACTCACAATGAGCTTTCATCCTAATGAGAGAGATAACAAGTACATATAAAAATATATAGCACAAATATAAAGTGAATTTAAAAGCAAATATGTGCAGAAGAGTCTTATATGAGAGAGTTTGGCTACTAAGTAGTTGGGAGAATCAGGAAAGGCTTCATGCAGAAGATGGTGCCTGAGCTGGAGGGACTCTGTGCATCAGAGGTAAGGAGGGAGTGCAGGTAAGACGCCATCCCTATCCTCATGGAGTTTGCAGTCTGTTAAGAGGTTATGATAATATACTCAAAGATCTCGAATACACCAAACCTAAGTGCATTAGGAAGCTATGGTGAATTGCCATGTTAGGTCCCTCCTAGCCACTCTTCTCTCCCTAGGCCCCATGGGGGAGAGTGTGCCCTCTGACTTTTACTCCATATTGCTGGCCGAGAACGCAAGGCTGCGGAGTGAGTTGGATAAAAACCGCCACCAGTCTTCCCCCATCATCCTGCAGCAGCAAGCCCTACCGGTAAGAACCCGGGCTGCCAATCCACAAGCATGCTTTTGCATTGTCCTTTGCATGCAGACTCACCTGTTCCAGGCCCCAAAACTCCCCTTCAGAGTAGAGAGAGACATGCCACATGCAGCCAACCACTGTCCAGTCCAAAGTCGGTCACAGGAAAGGCCAGAATATACCAAAATGCTGGGGCAAGGAGCGTAAGCAGGCAAGTCTGGGAGCTCTGGGGCTACCTCAGAGATGAGAAAAAATGGGATTCTGGCCTTCCTTGCCTGGTCAGTTCTCTAGTTCCATTACAATTTCTAGTTGGTTCTACCACTCTGCATGACCATTCTCCCCATGCATGTCCCTGTAACTTCACCAAGAGAACAAAGGGTCCTTTCAAGCTGGGATCAGTCTCTCACCAGGTACCCTGGGATGTGCCTACAGTGGCCCATGGACTCCCAGTGCAGTCTGGGTGACAGGTAGGTCAAGGTTTTTAACCTTGATTTTAGAGAGATCTCCTGGAGTCTTCAGCTCACTTCCAGCTTTTGGGTCAAGCTGGTTTCCTCTCTATAAGTGTGTGTATGAAGTCTATAGCTCTAGACACTGTGCAGTGGTCAGGGTAGATAGAGTGGCTCCATTTGAGAGCTTCATTTTCTACCTTGTCCCAGGGTCCTGCAACAAAGAGTGACCCAACCCCCTGACTACTACTTCCCATCTTCCCCACACCCTATCTTCACCATCCCCATCCCTTCCTCCAGGTCCATTCAGTGAGGGCCATAGAAGCCCTCATGTAGAGGCTTGAGCTCCCACTCCCTGAGCCACACACTCAGTCTTCCTCACACCAGCCTTCTCCCAGTGCTCTCTGTCCCCTTCCTGACATCTCCTGGGATCCCTGGGGAGACTTGGAGAGCCCTTTCTCCATAGTCCCAGGAGAACCCTGGGGAGAAGGGGGCAGCCAGAGACTTGGCAGAGAGTCTGCAAGAGACAGGTCAGCCAACCTACTCATCACACCTGGGGAGTCTACTTAGACAGATGGGTTCCTCAGACCCAGAGTGATACATCCTGCTCATTTTCAGCTTCCATAGCATTCATACTTAGATGGCTACATCCCTTTAAGCAAGCTTGCCACATGTGAAGGGCTGAAGGTGAGCAGCAGATCAGCTCTTGGGCAAGGGGTTTCTTCACTTCATAGTGGGCCCTTCTTTGGACAAACCTAATATATACAGAAATCCTATATCTGTAACCGATAAATAGGGGCAGAATACAGAGAGATTCTTTGCTTCACAAAATTATTCTTCACTTTACACAAGCACTTGGCACAGGGTTCTTTTAGGTAGTGGGCTCAAGTACATATAAAATGATTTGATTTACAGAAATGGGATTTATTTTTAAAATTAAGTTACATATTTTTAATGAAGAAACATCTATTTTCTCTCCTTCCCACCTTCCCTACCTTTGGAGGAAAAAAGAAAAGAAAAAAGAAAAGAAAAACTTTTGCAACCATTTGCATGGTCAAGCAAAACAAAGTCCCAAATTGGCCAGATGCAAAAATGCCTGTCTCATTCTGCACCAAAAAACACGTGACTCAAATGATCAAATAAAGTCAGCTCCACCTGTACTACAAAATAGACCACTTCACTCTGCAGGATTCCTGGCACTGCTTTGGACTCTGTAGTAAGGAGCAGACACCATTCCTTATTGCCAGGGAAGGGGTAGTCTCCATGGAAGGGAGAAGTGAAAGCAGTGGAAAAGAAACTGGTTCCTAAAGCAGATTTGGAGTGGGAGGGATGCCATTCAGAGCCAAATGGTCCCATCACCCAAAGCAGCCCATTCGGGATCCAGGATGTCAGTCTCCTACTGCCCCTCTCACGCTCTCCCAAGAAAGGATACCCAGAGTAGATTCTCTCCCCATGTATCCCCAACCAAGAAACATGCCAACATGCCTATTATCACATCAAGAAAAATCCCAGCATATGAGGAGAGAAATTTCTCTTCCATTCCACTGGCATCCTAATATAACAATATGTAGTCCTTAACTCATACCCCAATAATACAGAATCTGTGACCATTTAGACAGGAGATGCTCTAACCAAAGCTTCCTTTTACACTCACAAAAGAGTTAACAGAGTATAAATGAACAAAGTGTATAAGATTAACAGGACCCAGTTAACCCAAGAGAAGAAACTGTTTTCTAGCACTTAAAAGCCCTAATTTGTGCTTCATGCAATTGGCATCCTGATCAACCACCATTCTTATAGGCCCATTAAAGCAGTCCTTTTAGGGACCTGTACGCGGCAACATTTTAGTATTCCAGATCAAATCTGCATTTCAAAATGTTCCACAATTTAATTTTTTTTAACAGATTTAGACTGATTCCCCTAATATGAATGTAAATTAGTTATGTTTGCCCATCTCTCTGTAGATCTCTTTCTAGGCTACTTCCCTCTTCTTTCCTTAGTCCATCCTATGTCATCTTCTCTGAGCTGAAATTGGGTTAGAGTAAATCCTCAGTTTTAAGGGAACTTTTTTTTCTTGAGAAGAATTCTTGGTAACCAGAGTGATAAAATATTTTTGTGAATCATCTCCTGAGGCATATCTTTCAGGATTCTCAGCAGGTTAGCTATACAGACTCCTTTTCTATTTATTCTACCAAGATTTTATTCATAATAGTCCCTTGCATGGCATTTTATACTTTCCAAAGTTCTTTCCTATCCGTTGTCATACTATTCCCTAAGGTAGCTGGAAGAGGACTCTACCATTCTACAGATGAGAAGACTAAAGTCAAGAGAGGTCAGATGACTTGACCAAAGTCATCCAGTAGCTCATTGCAGAACATAGTATATATGGAAGGGGTGCTAAATACGGGATCAGATTTGAAGACTGGCTCTATCTGTTCAAACTCAGTCAATCTGGGCCTCAGTTTCCTAATTTGGAAAACTAGAGGATTGAGCTAGGTGATTACCAAGGTCCCTGCCAAATCTAAGTCTTATGATCCCAAGTTACAACTTCAGGATTTAGCCCTTAGTTTCAGGGTCATGAAGGCTCAATGGGACATGGTAGGTCACCACACACCCAGGGCAGCAGCCTTTTTTTGTTTTCAAAAATAACTCATTTTCGGCTCCATGTGCTACATGATCTCCACAGAGGTCAATGGGTAACCTCCATGAAGTCACATACTCTGGCCTTGTCTAATTTTGCCTCAGGTGTGTAATGGGATCATAATAGTGTGGTTCCCCTATCGGCCAGATTTGTGCTTTTGCCAACAGGACTTCCTCTCCAGCACCTCAGACAAATTCAATCTCATGGCCAAATTGGAGAGTGCTCAAAATCGCATTCGGACTTTGGAGAGCGAGGTAGGTGAGGCCTGGAGTTCTCAAAGGAGTCTTCTTAGATAAGTCCATGGAGAATAAGGCTATAGAGAACTGTAGGACAAGGGTAAGGAATGGAATGAAGTCAGTCAACCCCTCTGTGCCTCAGTTTATTCATCTGTAAAATGAAGGGATTGGACTCACTGGGTTTCCTTCCAGCTCTAAATTTATGGTCCTATGATATATGAAACAGAATATAACTGAAGGGAAACTGAGTCATTTAGTAATGGAGCCCATGGTTCCAAGAACCTGGAGGAAAGCTTTTACCATGGGCTCAAAAAATCTTAGGAGTATGGGATTTAGAGTTGGAATCCCACCTCCCCTTGCTCAGTCTCCCTCCCCAGCCGCCATTATGAGCCATAATGCCTGCCCTAGGAAGGGAGGAGGGAGGGTAGCCCCTGAAAAAGCACCAGAGTCCCCACTGGCTGTGAATTCCCATTGGCCAGCCCCCTCTGTCATGGGCCCAGCAGCCCTGATGCTTCTTTTCATCCCTATCTGGGGTTATAGCTGGAAGATTCAGCTCGGCGCTGGGGACAAGAAAAACAAGATCTGACCTCGAAGCTGATGGAACAAGACCATGGCTTTATACATGGTTCCAGTCCTATGTTGACAGAACACCAAGTGAGTAGCCTTGGACACCAGGGACTGGGGTGAAGGAACAGGGAGGCATCTGGCCATTTCTGAGGGGTCAGCTTTGGAAAGAATGTGGACTGGCATTGAGGAAGCCTGGCTTCCGATATCGGCTCTGACACTAACTCCCTACGTGACATTGAGCAAATCCCTCCTCTTGTGAAATGGAGATCACAATTCTCACCATCACCACCTCATCATTATCTTTCTGATTGGCAGAGGCAGCTGGCTCTGAGACTGGCCCAGGGCAGCACTACCCAAATACTAGGTGGCTGTGTCAGGGGAAAGAGGGTTGTTGGAGCAGAGAGGGTATTGGCTCCCCAGGGGACCTCAGAGATCACCTAATTTGGAACCCTGCCCCATGCCTTATTAAATAGTTGAAAAGTATCACATCATAATGGGTCTAGACACCTCAGACACCAACTGCCCCAGACACACACCTGCACACTTAACCTCTTAGGACCTCAGATTCCTGTAAATCATGTGAACCAATATTCCCACTGCCCACCTCACAGGCTTGTTGTTAAGATAGTGTTTTGTCCAATTTAAAGTGCTCTTGAAACATGAGTTATGATGATGAGGGAGCTAAGAACATTTGCCCAGGTATCCATGACTTTGCCCCTAAAGGAGAAAGGGCTGAGATTTTCCAGAATTCTGATTCTGGCCACAATGCTAATAGGCAAGGATGTGGCTGACTTCAGGAAAAGTAAGGGGAAGTAGCTGCCTTCTTGTGGCAAACTGAGAGGCTCTAGATAGTACTGTCTACCCAGAACATCTCCCCATCTCCTTCTAGGGCTTCTTCCCTTGGGGTTCATCCTGGTCCTTTCTAAGTTCCTCTTTTCCAATCCTACACACACATACACACACACACACACACACACACACACAACAACACATATATACACATGAATACACACAGACATGCACATATGTATGTATGTATATGTATGTATATATAATAGTATATACATGTGGTATATGTGTCTATGTATGCATATATGTGCACATATGTATGTACATTGTTTATTAAGCAGAACTGCGATTTCCTCAGTGGATGGAGGTAAAGAATTACCTTGACCAGTTCAGGTTGGAACTCCTTCTCTAACTTAGAGGCTTAGAGAGTGGCCAGGTTTCCACCCACTACTCCATGTTGCCTATAATAATAAAAACTCTCCACAGTGCCTTAAGGTTTACAGAGCACTTTTCAAACAGTAACCTCCCAGTTGGGTTGTGGGCTTATTATTGTGGCCATTTAAAGCTGAGGTAAAAGGGCAGCATGAGGTTGTGGACAGAGATCTAGCCTCAAAACCAGGAAGCCCTGGGTTCAAGTCCTGCCTGACACATACTGGCTATGGAACTCTGGACAGGTCAAAACCTTTCAGGGCCATGTGGCTCACTGAAACCATGATTCTAGAGAAGGTTCTGATCTTCATTGATAGATTTTCCTCAGTGGACACTCCCTACACCAGTGAAGTTACTGGTCCAAACACAAAGAAATGGAAGTAAGACAGCTAGTGGCATAGTGGTTACAGTACCGGCCCTGGAGTCAAAAGGACCTGAGTTCAAATCCGGCCTCAGACACATATACTCACTAGCTGTGTGATATGGGCAAGTTACTTAACCCTGATTGCCTTACCGCTCCCCCCCAAAAAAAGAAATAGAGGTAAATGAGGCCCAGAGAGAAGGCCCAGACCCAGGGTCACAGAGCAATATTTTTCACCAACCTTGCCTGTTAATTTATGTATTGATATTCATTTTTCTAAGTCAATACAGTATAGTAGAAAGGTTGAATGGTCATTATTTCTTCTCTTCAGGGACCCTCTAAATAGAAGGCAAATGAGTGGTCCTGAGGAGTCCCTTCTACCCTTCTCTCTCTCATTGGCACATTCTTACAATAAAGAGGCCAGGTTACCTAATTGTCCTCTTGGAAGCCAGTCTGACCTCTGTTGGAAGGAATGGGCTGGGACGGAGTAAGCATTTATTAACAGCCTACACTGTGCTAAGCACTTTTACAAATATTATCCCATTTGATCCTCACAAACTCATAAGGCAAATGCTATTATTAGCCCCATTTTACAGATGAGGAAACTAAGGCAAACAGAGGTTAAGTGACTTGCTCAGGGTCTCACAGCTAATGGGTGTCTGAGACCAGATCTGAACTTGGGTTTTCCTGACTCCAGGCCCAGCATTCTATTCACTGGGCCACTGAGCCAGGAAAGAGTGGAAGAAAGAAAAGTGGAGCAAAACAGCAAATAGGAAGCTGTTGGCCAGTAGGGAGTGAGGAGGGTAGAACCAAGGAGAGCAGGTCAGGCTACCTTTGTGCTTTGGAAGAGAGCGTTGTGGATGGGAAGGGGCGGGGAGGATAGTGTAGGAAAATTACGAGAGCTCTAGTGTCAAAGGCTAGCAAGTTATTGCTGCTACCAAGAGGTTTTCTGTGAATGAGATGAATCATCATTCCTTTATTTCGGCAGATAGATGGAAGGATAGATGGGAAAGAAAGAAAGAAAGAAAGAAAGAAAGAAAGAAAGAAAGAAAGAAAGAAAGAAAGAAAGAAAGAAAGAAAGACAGACAGACAGACAGACAGACAGACAGACAGACAGACAGAAAGAAAGAAAGAAAGAAAGAAAGAAAGAAAGAAAGAAAGAAAGAAGGAAAGGGAGGAAAGGGAGGAAAGGGAGGAAAGGGAGGAAGGGAGGAAGGGAGGAAGGAAGGAAGGAAGGAAGGAAGGAAGGAAGGAAGGAAGGAAGGAAGGAAGGAAGGAAGGAAGGAAGGAAGGAAGGAAAAAGGAAGAGAGAGGAAGGAAGAAAAAAGGAAGAGAGAGGGGAAGGAAGAGAAAGAAAGAAAGGGAGAGAAGGAAAGAGAGAAAAAAACAGAAAAAGGAAATAAATAAAATGGAAGAATAGGCAAAAAGAAAGATGGAGAGAGAGAGAGAGAAAAAGAGAGAGAGGGGTAGCCTCATTAGAATATAACCTCTTTGTAAGTAGGGATTGCTTAATTCATTGTGTCTGTATCCCCAGCACCCAGTATAGTGCCTGGCACATGGTAGGGTCTTAACAAAGACTTCTTGGTTGATTGATATATATTACATATACATGTATACATGTAAATATGCATATATATGTGTGTGTATAGATAGATACAATCCAACTATTGATTGATCAATCTATGTTTTCGCCACAATAAAGGAATGGATACCAATAGTATATGTGTGTGTGTGTCCACATGTAGACACACTCTCAAGAAGCCTATTAGTAGCCCCCCAAGGCAGGCCCCTGGGCCAGGCAAGCCTGAGATCTCTGCGCCTCACCACTGCCAGATTTGATGACTCATAGGATTTTGAGCCGATAAAGACCGTAGAGGTCATCCAGTCCAACCTCCTCATTTTACAGACGAGGAACCAGAACTCCAGAGAGAGGAAGTGACTAACCCAGGGTCACAAAACAAGTAAGTAGCCAAGCCAGGTTCCAGACCCAGGTGTCCTGACTCCAAGCCCAGAATTCTCTCCATTTTGCCACTGTCTCTGATGCTTACTGACCCCACAGCACAGAGTAGGAGGTCACAAAGCCTATGGCAGGTCCCAATAGATGTGGACAGATATGCCAGAGGTGGGAGAGGTGGATAGAGGGGCAGTCCTAAGAGTACTGAAGGACACATAGACTCCCACGTGGGAGGCGCAGGTTTCCTCTCAGAGTCTCTATACGTATCCCCGCTGCCCCAAAGTGCTCCTCAGTGCCCTGTCCTGGCTCGGTGGTCTGGGATAAGTCTTTGCAGGGGGGTGGTTAGAAGCTGACAGAAAAGAGCTATTTCTGGAAACTTCATGATCCGTATGAGGTCCCCCTTACTTTGCCTTATGTACAGAGGAGTCCTTCGGACCATACGACTTTCAAAAAGCCGCAAAAATAGGATCCGTTATCGCTCCATCCAGAATCTGACCCGTAAAGTCCAACGAAGATCAAAGTGAAACCTCCCCAACAGGACCACAGAAACAGGACTCCCTTTGCATTCTTCTCCTGGAATCAGATCCCTAACAACCTTATTAAATGCATAAAGCTTGGTGAGTGTCCATGGTCTATTGATGAAGCCCAACGAGCCCTGGAATATCCTCAGTCTTAGATTTTTCCCCCTCTCCCACCCACAGTCACTTTCTCCCCAGGCCTCCCTCCTAGAACCCCAGCCCAGAATCTCTATGGGTCAAAGAGCTGGCCAACTGGTTAAAGAGGTAGGAGAGAGAAGGGAGACTGTATTCTAAAGTTACGGGGTATGGATCTTGGAACTTCAACGTCAGGAGAACTGCTCATCTCCCAAAGAAGCAAGATGGCATTTTGGGGACAGGGAGAAGGGATGGTGACTGTGGGAAGGAGCAAACAATCTTAGGGCATTGGAGCTGGAAGGGGTCGTGGAGGTCATCTCATCCAAAAGCCCTTAACTGACAGAGGAAGAAATGGGAAGCTCAGAATGATTTGGTGATTTGCCCACAGTCACACCCTGAATTAGTGGCAGTCAGAAGTAGGACACAACTGTCCTGATTCCCATTCTCTTCCTAAGAATTTCTTTGTGTAATGTGATAGAATCAACTTTATACAAAGCCGAGATAGGTGACCACCCAACTGGTTTGACCTGAGAACTACTAAGGAGACCCAATGCCCAAACATACCTTCTTCAGCCCTGGCAATTTCGCAAGATAGAAGAAACCAAACCAAATGGACCATCATCCTAATCTGGCTATAGGCACCATAGGTTCATCTATATCCATCTACATCCCAGCCTCCAAGGAGACTCTAGGGCAGAGTCAGATAAGACTGGGTACCCCATTCCTAGGGCTATAAAGCTTTGGGTCTTTTTTATTTAATTTTTTTCAATGAACAAGCATTTATCTTCTTCCCTACCCACTCATCCACTATTAAGAAAAAGAAAAACAAAAACAAAACCCTTGTAATGAATGTATATAATCAATCAAAACAACATTCCCATATTGGCCATGTCCAAAACTATGTCTTATCCTGCATCCTGAGTCTTCATCTCTCTTTTGGGAGGTGGACAACATGCTTCATCATTTTTCCTCTTAGGATGAAACTGTGACTTAAAAGAGGTTAAGAAATTTGCCCATAGTCACACAACTGGTGAATAGCAGAGCCAAGATTCAAACCCAGATCTTTGGGCTCTAAAACCAGATCTTTCCATTACATGGATTGCCTTATATCCATATCAAAAATGGTCTTTTCCCACAGTTGGCAGGGCTCTCTGTGCTTGGACCAGGTCAAGATTAGAGCCAACAGAACATAGTACTAGCAACAATTTCTTCACTTCTTAAATGTTCATGAAAGAAACCTGTGTTGATGGTGATAGTCAGGAATGGTGTGGCTATCCTTTGTAATTTACTAACGTTTTTGAAAAAGGACATTTTGAGAAATTCAAGTATACAAATATTTCTTGTTTTCCTTCCAGTCAAATGGGAGGGGGGATCTTCTAGTGAAATCCCAATTTAAGCCAATAACAAAGAAGGCTTCTACCCACCTTCTTTAGTGGATTGAAGGACATTTCTCCGGGGCAAAATATGGCATAGGAGTGGACAAATCCATAGGCCACAAGGATCCTTAACTTTTTGTGTCATGGAACCCCTTTGGCAGTTTCATGAAGCCTGTGGACTCCTCAGAGTTGTGATTTTAATTGTATAAAATGCACAGGATTACAAAAGGAAATTAATTATATTGAAATATAGTTCTCCAAATATATATGTGTGTATGTGTACTTTTTTTGAAGTTCAGACTCCAGGTTAAAAATTCTAGCCCTAGATAAAGAGGCAAATAATTTTCTTGGCCCATTACATTATATACTTGGGTTTGTCACATTTCTGCCTGTATCTTCCTCCCTGTTATCCTCAGCCTCTCCGTATAACAAATATGCAGAAGTCACGTCTCTCTGCATTACAGCTGGGGCTTGAAGGGCCGGAAAGTGAACACAATGGGCTTGTCAGGCATCAGGATGAGATTAAAGGTGGTACCCACATCTGAAAGTTCGTGGAGTTCAATCCTGAAGTTCTCCAGAATCTGCAGAGAAGAAAGAACTAGGCTAAATGGAAAAGGCGGGAGACTCCAGAGCAGGGATGGCTTCACGCTTAAGTCGAAAAAAGGAGATTGCCTGGGAGTTATTTGAAAGCCTCGAGGAAGGTCCTTGGCTCAAACTATGTCTTCCATTGATGCCACAAATACCACCATTGTGCAATTATTCTTTGGTCTCTCCTAAAGTTTCTGTAATGCAAATCTCCATGGGGAAAACAACACATTCTGTGGGAATTGATACAGCTTGAGGGGCATGGAAAGTGGAAGAAGGATGCTTGGGGATCCCATACATACATACATATAGATATAGATATAGATATAGATATAGATATAGATATAGATATAGATATAGATATAGATATAGATATAGATATAGATATAGATATAGATATAGATATATACACACACTATATATACATATATATGTATATGTATATGTATATGTATATGTATATGTATATGTATATGTATATGTATATGTATATGTATATGTATATGTATATGTATATGTATATGTATATGAGCTTGGTAGAGTTCACAGTGCTGCTTCTTGCCTTGTTCATGGTCAATGGGAGCAGAGATGCAAGAGACCCAAAGGTCTTGCAAAGCCTACCAGTAGTTTCCTGGGGGGTGAGGGAATGGTGATGGAAAGATGAAGGTGCGGGGATGGGAGCAGGAAGGGATTATTCCTCTGATACGAAATTAGGAAATTGGACTAAACCAGTGGTGTCAAACTCAACTAGAAATGGGAGCCACTAAATAATACCTAAGGATCCTTGTAGGCTGCATGTTGACTTAGAAAACCATATATTAGTATTATTTAGGTTCTCTTTTATTTTTATTTGTTTTGTTAGATAATCCCCAATTATATTTTAATCTGGTCCCCACCACATGCAAGAGTATTGCAGGCCATCTCCCAGCCTACTTAACACCACAGACTAGACCATCCTTAAGACTCCTTCAAGTTCTAAATATTAGGATGCTGCAGTGATGACCTTGGAGCTGCCTCTGCCTCAGAAGTAGATAGTTTATTTAGGTATAGTGGTGCCCAAGTGTAGGAGAAAACATTCTCATCTTCCTGCCATCTTTCCCCTCCCCATCTCCCTGGGCCAAAGGTCTATCTCCAGTGATTCTGAGAACATAGACACCTGCCAGACAGACCTAAACCTTACCTTCCCCCTAACCAACACCTTCATACCCAGAGGTGGTTCTCATGCCACTATCAGACAGAGACTACTGTAGCCCCTGCAAGTCTCAATTTAGGTTCCTAGCCACAATTATCTATGACCTAAGACCCAGAGAGGCAGGTGGAGCCAGCCTAAGAGGAAAGGTATGCTTGTGGAACAGGAGTTGGAGCCCAAATGCCCTGGGGATCACTTGGGTCACTGATTCTGACATCAATCTAATTTCTACTCCCTTTCTACAACCCAGTCTCAAAGTCATCTCTCTTGGGTACAGAGAGGGAACCTTCTTCGTGGGTAAGAACCCCTTCCAATCTACCAACAATGGAACACAAATTAGACCTACGTCTCCAATGCACAAACCTTATTTCCTGTGCGAATTAGAAGGAGTCATGAGTGGGTCCAGAGTGGAAAGGGACTTTGGGCATCTTTAATGAGAGTCCCTCTCTTCTCTCCAAAAAAGTATTAGACTCACATGCATCACAAAGATAGTTATCTCCAACTCAGCAATCCTCCGCCCAAGACACTGCCGAGGACCAAAGCCAAAGCTCAGAGCCCGGAAGTAGGTGTCTTCATGGAACCATCTGGTAGGGTCAAACTTTTCTGGATTGGGAAAGATGTCAGGATCCCTTCCCATGGCAAAGACGGCCACTTGGACAACTTTCTGGAGGAAAACAGAGAGAGAGTAGACTAGAATCAGTCCTGTGCAGAGCACCCAGGACAGTCTGTTCTGTGGTATTCCCACAATCCCCGAAATATCACATGGGGGCATTCTGAAACTTAGCTCAGAAACCCTAATCAGGGAGGCAGGAGACACTGAGGTCTATTACGTGCTAGCCATAGAACCTTGGACAAATGACATCACACCTCTGGACCTCAGTTTCCTCATCTTCTCAAATGGGGATAAGACCAATCCCCATACCCCAGGATCAAACAAGACAATGGTTGTAAAAGACCTTTGAAAAGTATAAAGCAGCATTTTCATGCAAATTGTGATTGCTGATATTTCCATCCCAGGAGGAACCCTGCTCCTTACTGGCCAAAGGGACAGTCTTATTAACCCTCAAATTGAAAGTCAAAATGTCAAATTCCTCATTAAACACCCATCTAACTCCCAGAGCTTCAATCCAGATCACAATGGATTTCTTTGCATAGAAGTTATTTAACTGTAGAAACTATGGTTTATTTACCTTTCTCTAGGTCACAGTCCAATACATTATACATAGCAGTACTTAATGCTGGTTGAATGTAAAATGAATGAATTACACACTGGCCTATGTGATGACATATATGCTAACATTAAAAACCAACTAACATCCATTAGGGCAGACATTCATGCATTTGCTATGGTTTATTTACCTCTAGGTCACTGTCCAATGTACTATACATAGCAGTACCTAATGTTGCTTGAATGTGTACTGAAATGAATTGCACACTGGCATATGTGATGGCATATGTGTCTACATTAAAGACCAACTAAAGTCTTTTTAAAATCTATTGGGCAATTCATGTGTTGCATTTCTGTTTAGCTCTCTGTTCTCAAGGCTAATTGATTTTCTAGCTTAATGATTTTCCATAATCATCATCATCATGACAATAATAATTATACTTCTAGGTTTACAAAGCCTTTTACATATGTTATCTTACGTGATCCTCACAATAACCCTATGAACTAGATGCTATTATTATCCCCCTTTTACAGATGAGGAAACTGAAGCTGAGAGTGTTTAAGTGACTTGCCTGAAATCACACAGCCTGTAAATGTCTAAGACAGGATTTGAACTCAGGTCTTCCTGACTTCAAGTCCAGTTCTCTATCTACTTTGCCATCTACACTACAGCCTTTAGTACATGAGAGTCTATTTTCTGAGCCTGGCTCCATAATACCAAATATAAACATATTTTATGTGCTAAAAGCCCTAATAAAGTCATATTCAATCTCAGAACAAATTACATATAATATGGGTTGAATATTTCTAATTGCCTGTCTCTACCCCTTCCATGTGAATGTGTCTCCCTTGATATTTCTAGGGCAAGGACCTCATCTGCTAAATTGCCCCATGCAGCACAGACAGGGTCATGCAAACATTTAATATGGGCATTTGGATGTGAAGGAGACAGAAAGAGTTGTAAGCAGTTAACTACGGGTGAATAGGCTCATTCAGAAATGACAAGCACCTGGCATATGGCTCAGGAAGGAAGCTTAAGTAAGAGGGGTGCTCAGGATGGAGACAACTCTGAAATCCGCAGGCTATATGGGGCTGGGTTCTGCCCACCTCTGGCAAGAAAAAAAGCCCTAAATCCCTCCAAGATCTCCTCTACTCCTAGGAAAAGGGCTATTGACCACCACCCAACCAAGTCCCCATTCTGTTTCCCTGACTGTCATTTCCCCAGTGCCCATTCTGGACTAGAGAAGAAAAGACAATGGTTTGGGCTCTCTGGATTCCTTATGAGTAGGAATGCCTGCAAACTAGTCTGAGGGCTTACTTTGGCGGGGATCATGTAATCTTGGAGAACTAAATCCGATGGAAGGTACCTTTGCAAGGTAACGGCAATGGGGTGTAACCTGAAAGAGAAGAGATACAGAATACACACACAAGTCCTGCAAAGGATCATGAGCTCAAGAACAAAATTCAGCCCAGACACTGACCTGCCTCCTCCTGTTTCCTACTTCCCACTTCCTGTTTCTTCCCAGTTCTAGCTGCCTCCACATTTATGGCTGCTTTGTAATTTATTTCCTTCCCCCTCTCTCTCACTGGAAGTGCAGGGAGGGATGGGGAAAAGGAAGTGGAGCAGGAATTCCCCAGGATGGGAATCAACTTGCCTCAGGGTTTCTTTGATGGCAGCTTTGAGAAGCGGCACAGATTTGAGCATCTTCCTCACATCTCCCTGGGCATCGCGCTGGGCCGCCAGGACCTCGGCCCGAAGCGTCTCTTGTACCTTTAGGTTCCGAGCCATTTCATACAGGCACCACTGCATGGTCATTGAAGTCTGAAGTAGACAGTTGAGAGTTGGATGAAGAGAACTGAGTCCCCCAACTCCAGTAGCTCCAGAAAACTAAGCCTTCTAGGCTCACATAATCAGCTCTCTATGATTATCATAGAGGTATGGAATGACGTGGAAATTTTTCACACCTTCGTCCTCAACACACACATAATCGTTTGTTTGTTTGTTTGTTTGTTTGTTTGTTTTAACTAGGTTAAGTGACTTGCCCAGGGTCACACAGCTAGTAAGTGTTATGTGTCTGAGGCTGGATTTGAACTCAGGTCCTCCTGAATCCAGGGCCGGTGCTCTATCCATTGTGCCACCTAGCTGCTCCCTTATACACACACTCTTAAGGGACAACAATTTCACGTCACTGTCAGCCTAAGCAAAATGCATCATTGTACCACCATGCCAATAAAAGAGGACTTTGGGGCTCTCCAGTGGCCCTCATTTACTGAGACACACTTTGAGTGCTAATTCTGGCACTACAGCATTCTCATAGCAAATGGATTATTAAGCATTTTTAAAATTCAATGGAGCCATCCAAAAATGGTTCTAATAGTCCTCAATAATCCTATGAGGAAGGGAGGACTTGTTATCATCATCTTTGCACAAACAAGAAAACCAAGGTTCTGGTAACATTTAAGTTTTTGCAGATCTCTTACCTAAAACAATCTCTAAAGCCTACATAAGCCCATCTTGTTTTATGTAGTAGTTAAGCTCCTGAAAAGTTATTATAAAGAAAATATTTCAAACGTGCCAAGGCATCCTTTAAAGAAACTCTTTGGTCCTTTCAAGGAAATGTTTTCATACAATTAAAAATCCTTAAATGAGTAGCATATGACCACCTAATTTATCTTTCATGTAAATCAGGATTTACATGTCAAGTTTTTTTTTAATTTCTACTGCAAAGCTGGCAATCCTTTGTAAACTTTCACAGATTTACAATTAATTTACAATTAACCCACTGATCTGCCCTCATTTTTTCATTTAGACGTTGACATTAGTCAGATAATCTTCATATTAACCAGTGTTTATGACATTTAGCTTTGACATATACCAGTGACATGGCCTTTGGGCATAAACTCCAACTTGCCCCACAAAGTTTCTGCCTGTTCAGGACTCTAGCCAAAGGATATTCCAACTTCCGAGGGAAAGAAAGAATTGAGTCAATATGCCCCCTCTCTCACTGAGAGTCTCAGGCTCTACTATTTATGTCAAGAAGTCCTAAGAAGACTCTTTTCTGAGTCAGATGAGTGATTGTATCAGAGGCTCTTTTGGAATAGAATACGTTCTTATGCCATGTGATTCCAAGTATCCATCTCTTAGGTTGGTTCTCCATGCAGGAACAGCGGGTTACATTTGCCACATAAGATTTAAGGAGTTCCCTAAAGCCACAGCCCCCAAAATCCCAATATGGTGCCTGAGATTTCCCCTGCCTCACCATCTTGAATTTCAGACCTGCCTGATTCCCTGGGTCTGAGGAAGTCATTTTCTTCTGCTATGGTCGTGTAAACAGAGCAAATCACAGAGATGGGAACCTTTTACTCTCATAAGCAATGATGAGAGTTCTAGGGCCTTAACTCATATTCTACCAGTATAGCTGCCCACTCCCAACTTCTCACAAAAGGGCAGAAAGAAAGTGGTCACTTGTATTCCTCTGAATATTTGATTTTGACATTCAGTTGAATAGGTATTCTCTTGGGAAGGGCCAACTATTCTTCCATAAAGTTGTGAGCTTGGTCAAATTTGTTTCTAGAAGCCCACCTCCTTTCTGACCTCTCTACCTCCCAAATGGGTGAGTGTCCTCACACAGTACTATCCCCTCCTGTCAAGAAGGAAAGGCTGATAACCTTAGCTACACAGAGGTAGGAAGGCTTAATTGGGTTCCATTTCTGAAACGGAATCTCAGAAAATCAACAATAAGTCACAAGGATTGAACCTCTAATGTGGGAGTTCCAGGAACTCATGGGGAGAATTTGGCCTTACAAGTGCCCCCACATGGTAACATTTTACAAAAAATCTCTGTTTTGTAAACCACTTTCCGAGTTCTACTTATAATGACTCACTTAATACAATAATCAAATGAGAGAGGGAGATGTGGGATCCTTGTTCCTCTGTGTCCAAACATCAAAAATGAGGCTCAGCAAGGTAACTTGTTCAAATGTTTGCATAGGAAGAAAATGTCAGTGGCATGGCATGATTCTGGCTCTAGTCAGTCTACTGGGGTATCAGCTGCTGAGGTCAACACCCTACTATGCTCATCTTGAAAATGGACCTTACTCACTTCGACCCTTATCCACAACATTTGTAAGGTGCCTAGCGCACAGTAGACATTGAATAAATACATATTCTCTTCCCCCTTCATCCTCACCGTGTCCACCCCTCCGGCCATCATTTCTGTAACATTGGCTTTGATATCTTCAAAACTCATGGCATTGCTGTGCAAGAGAGAGTAGAGAATGCCTGGATAACACTCGGGGACTCTTGGTCTCATTTTCTGGTTCCGGTAGAAGCTCCGTATATAACCTTCAGCTGAGACACGGGGAGAAAGAAAGGGGACATTATGGAGTCTCTCTGAATGGAAGACATTGGGGTTGGGGAAGGGACATGAAGAAGGCTGAGGAAGTTTTGGAGGGAACAGAGTTGGGGGAAACCTGGAGTGGAATGAACTCATCATTGGAAGTCAGGAAACTGTGGGTCCTGGCTGTATTAAGGCTACTGACCATTTGATGCCCTTGGCCTCCCTCTACTTTTCTTATTTACATCAGTGTCTTTGGGGCAGCTCAAGTAAGGATAAAGTGTTCTACAAAGGCCTCATTATCATCTTGCCAGCAACAGCTTTGATGTTTCTGTTGTCTCAAGGGCTAACAAAGTTGACAGCTGTAGGAGTGGGTTATTATTCATTGACAGTACCTGACTTCTTAAATCCAGGTAGAGATTTTAGAATTCAGGGGGCCCTCGCCCTCTGCAAAAAGTGCATAGAAATCATATGTGTGTAACCAAATGCTATCTTTTTCACACAACACATACATGTACACACACTTGCACATGCATGCACATAGATATGCAGGTATACACACAGTTCACATGGGTACAAACCTTGCACTCATGTGTGCACTGTATTACATGTGTGTATTGAAGGCATATTCCTATTGTGCAATGTAACGCATTTTGCATATTCACTATGCATGTGTGTATACACATACGCATGCACATGCATGTGCGATACCAGCATGCACCTATACAGGCACACAATGTATCTACATACACACAGCTATAATACACAGGCATATATATATATATATACATACCTGCACACAATACAATGCATACGTACATGTCTACACAGGTAAGCATCCATGCACACTTACACAATACACATGCAATGCGCCCTATACACGTATACATGTGTGTGCATATTCATAATACACATGTGCACACATATGTGTGCACAGTATAATACACACATGCACACACATACGTACGCACTTTTCTGTGATGATCTTAGAGATGCCCTTTCTACTCTTTATACAGGTTTCCACAGGGTGGGGCCTCCATGCATGCCACTTACTCCCACCTTCTGTCAAATATTCAGAGGTTCTTAAACAATCACTTCAGCACACTCAGTGAGAACTGGGGAGTCCTATCTCTTTCATAATTGATAGATTATTGAATACCAGAGCCTCTTCAAGGGGAAATAGTTGACGTAAAAGAAACAGCGGCAGAGTTGAGACATTGACCAAGTGACATATTTGTTCTTTCCTTGGATTTTCCCCTGTCTCTGCCCATCTCCTCTGGGAGACATAAAGCTGCTACAGGCCCTTCTCCATGCTCAGCCTGCTGTTGCTGTCACCATCCACCTTGGGGTCTGACCTCAGTCTGCTCTAGCCCCAGCACCACCGGTGGCCCCAGAAGGATACTCAGAACACTCACCTCGATCAAAAATCTCATTCCACGAGGCCACGTGGTCCCTCCAGGTCTTGGCCTTGACCATACGGAACAACTCTGGAGGTATGTTCAGCATCGGAACACTAGTACGGAACATCGTAGACACAGCATCAATGAACTTCTGGGCTTCAGGGTCCACAGAATCTTCTAGGAGTCCCAGACGCTCCCCAAAGAGAAGGTTGCAAATAGCTGTGAGACCAGAGATCACTGCCAATAATATGCCAGACTTGTGGCCTTGTTGAGAACCTCAGATCATTGGAATCCCCTTGACCTCCCGCTGGAATTCTGCCTTCCCCCTCAAGGTCATTAACGCCTTGTGTTAAACATGCTTTTCTTTGTTGAATCAATCAGGATGCGGTACAAGGGACTAGGGGAGACAAGGCAGTCCATGGAGGACTTCTCCTTCACAAAGTAAATTTTAGGAAATCTATCTTGTGATATTGATATCTTAAACATAGGGAAAAGAGATATCTGGAGCAACAACGGGGGCTGGATATCTACAGCACGCCTGGAGAAAGGGCCTCAGAGCCAGTAAAAAGAATCAGCCTTTTAAAAACTTGCTTTTATTAACTGGAATTGGCATAAAAGATACTTGTCCCAAAAATAGTTAAGCAAAACCACCTAATGGAATTACTGCTTTGATTAATGGCATAACTGGCTAATATTTTATTAACCATAGTTAATTAAAGCATGATTAATCAACTACCCCTTCCCTAGTTTTGCTGTTCAGTCATTTCAGACTTTGTGACCCCATTTAGCATTTTCTTGGCAAAGATACTGGAACAGGTTGCCATTTCCTTCTCCAGCTCATTTTACAGATGAGGAAACTGAGGCAGACAGGTGACCTGTCCAAGATGGCACAGCTGGTAAGTGTCTGAGGCTAGGTTTGAACTCAGGAAGATGAATCTTTCTGACTCCAGGCCCTGAGCTGTATGCACTACGGCGCCCCCTAGTGGCCCTTCCCTAGTTTACCCCTTTCCTAATGGAAGGGAAGGCTGGGTGCTTAACTTGAATGATGGGGTACAAACCCCATCAGGCAGAGACAACACACAAAGTCATAAGATCGACGGTAGGCTGGACTCAAAGATAAGAGATGGCTGGGCTTTACTACTTACTACCTCACTAAATCATACCTTCTCTCCGAGCCTGGGGTCCCTCATCTGCAAAAATGAGAGGATTAAAGGAACGCTAATACACCGTTGGTGGATTGGCAAACTGGTTTGAAGATTCGGGGCAACGATTTGGAATTACGCAAGAGAAGTCACTAAACGATGACCTTGAGATCGCACTGATGGAAAGATGGAAAACAATTCTGTATTTATTAGCACCTACTGCGTGACAGGCACTACTCTAAGTGCTTTACAAATATTATCTCGTTTGATCCTCACAATGAGCCTGGGAGGTAGGTGCTATTATTATCCCCATTTTACAGTTAAGAAAACTGAGGCAAACAGAGGTTAAGTGACTTGCCCAGGTGACACAGCTAGTAAGCGTCTGCAGTAGGATTTGAGGTTAGGGCTGACTCCAGACCCTCACTGGGCTGCCCGCTTCCTCTGTCCAGGAATCAGGCTTGAGATATAAGGAGGCAAGCGAACACATTTGTGCTAAGAGAGGGATGGCCTTGGTGATTATGCTACATACATGAAATCTGCTGATCTGATAAGAGTTTGTGCCCTAGCATTGCCCATGTAATAGCAAATAATTTTCTTAAGTTCTAAATCAAGGGTTCTTCATCTTTTTTATATCTTATATTTTTTTTATGTTTTTTGTATTTTATATTTGGCCATTTGGTGAAGTCCATGGACTCCATCGCAGAATCCCATTTTTTAAATAGCTGACATTTATATAGTGCATTAAAATTTAATGTGATTTAAATCTCACAGCACTTGAATATGTAAATCCTATGTCTCTGCTATTTCTATTCTGAACACCACCACCACTGTGCGCTCATCCTTACCCTCTATGCCCAAGATCATTGGAACCTCACAACAACTTTAGGGTGGGGGTACTGTTCTTATCCCGATTTTACAAGTGGAGAAACCAAGGCAGAAAGAGGTTAAGTGACTTGTCCAGGGTCACACAGCTAATAAGTGACTGAGGGCAGATTTGAACTCAGGTCTTCTTGTAGAGGGCAACACCACTCTCCCAGTCCCTCAGGCTTGCAATTTAGGAGTCATTCTGAATTCTTCCCCCTCTCTCATCCCACATATCCAATCTGTTGCCAAGGCCTGTTGACCTCACAGTTACAACATCTTTCAAAAACACCCCTTTCTCTTCTTTGACACTGCCACCAACCTGGTGCGACAGCCCTGCATCACCACACTCCTGGATTATTGCAATAGCCTATTGGAGGAGGGGTGAGGAGGATCTGTCTGCCTCAAATCTCTCTCCACTCCATTCAGCCTGACTATGTCAACCCCACCCTCCATAAACTCCAGGGGCTCCCTACTGCCTCCAAGAGCAAATACAAAAATGTTCTTATGTGACATTCAAAGCCCTTCCTAACCTAGCCCCTTCCTACCTTTCCAGTCTTCTAACACCTTACTCCCCAACTCATACTCTTTAATCCAGTGACACTGACCTCCTGGCTATTCCTTGAGCAAGACATTCCATTTCCAGCCTCTGGGCATTCTCTCTGGCTGTCCCCCATGCCTGGAACACTCTTTTTCCCTGTCTCTGCCTCCTGGCTTCCTTTAAATCCTGACCAAAAATCCCATCTTCTACAGGAAACTTTTCCTTACTTCTAAGTGGCTCCCCTTGGTTAATTTATGAGCTGTTTATCCTGTGCATAGCTTGTTTGCATATCCATTTACTTACATGTTGTTTCCCCAATAGAATGTAAGCTGCTTGAGGGTAAAGATTATCTTTTGCCTGGTTTTGAATCCTCAGTGCTTAGCACAGTGCCTGGCACACAGTAGGTGCCTAATAAATGTGGATTGATTAATTCCTTCATTGCTAAGACCCTCCCTCAGTCAGCCCTTACTTACACTCAAAAGCCAATCGAAACAGATCCTCATTGATGTCCACTGTGAACTTTCCTTGGTCACTCCTCTCAATCCCCTTGTAAATCTTCTTTACAAAGTCCTCTTGAAATTGGAGTAAGAAGGGGCTCAAAATTGTTTATTGAGTCCAAAGCCAACACAAACTGATTCAGCAAAACTCGGTCTTTCTTCCAGCTTTCACAATTCCTGAGAAGGAAAAAAAAGAAGGAGATGAGGAAATCCCAGTGTTCTTGGGAGAAGAGGCTGGAGGTAATGGAGCAAACCATGGTGTTGCCACTCAGTCCATCCCAAGTCCGAGAATCCAGAGGCTCAGAGAGGTCACTGCTCCCCTTTTCCGTGCAAGGGCCCTTGGAGAAGGGTTTCCCACCAGATGCCCTTGCAGGCTAACCACTATTACTATCGTCCATATCTCTCCCTCTTCTCAGCCCTCCTGTCCCCTTTCTCACTCACCTGCACCTTGTGATTGGAGGCTAAGCCTCTACAACATAAAGGTGATAGAACCACAATTCAACACCCATGAAAATCCTACGAAGAACAAGGTGCTGCACTGAGCTTATGTGATGTAACCACATGGACTTTGGGAGATGTGCAGGTGTGGCTTCCAAGCTACATGACGAAGAGGAGCCCTTTGATTGGCTGCTGATCCAGAAATGCAAATGCATGCAAAAGACCCTGACTGGACGATGATGGTCCTGTCTCCTCCCTGGCTTCAATAGAAGGAGGAGATGCTGTAAGCCTTTGGATGGGGAGAAAAACCTCAGGCCCTCCTCACTTGGGCCACTATTCTTTGTTCCCTTTGCCTTCATCCTTTCCTGCTCTTGGGCAGAGGAGGGAGTTTTGGCTTTGACCTTCATTAAGTTGGGGGGGCAAGCTGCCAAAGATCCAGTAGCCAGAGTCCACGCCATGCCAGATTTTGTAAATGGCATGTAAAAAGCAGCCAAGTCCCAAGTGACCTACTCAACCAAGCAAAGAAGTGGGTGGAGAACATCTGAGAGGGAGCCACATTTCAAAGGGAACTTGGGGTGAAACCCATGTAGTAACTACTTTCAAGTTAAACCCACCCTCCCCAAGGATCAACATGGTATAAGAGTTTTGAGAAAAAATGTTTTATAACTCTTCTCAGAAACTATTGCTTTGTAAGAAGCTAATTGATAATAATTGCTCAGATAATATTGGGTTTCTAATAACTGGTGATTGATATGTCAATCAGCAAACATTTATTATATTGTGCTTAGCGCCAGAGATATTAAAAAGAGGCAAAAGACAGTCCTTGCCGGAATGGGCACTTAGGCTAATAGGATTAAAGAAGAATCTTTGGGGTACCTCTAGAACCCTCCAGAAGCAATGTCCTTGCTCTGGGAGACCTGATTTATCCCAAGTAGAAATTGGGAGCAGGATCTCCAGAGTGTAATAGAGGAGTTGACATGAATGAAAATAAATACGATACAAAGAATAATTTGACATGAGCAAGAAGTCACCTGGCCAAAGGGCTGTAGGGGTTTTGAGGAGTAAGAGATCACTTTTGGGTAGGGGATCATTGAAGGAGGTGGCACCTTAGATGACTCAACATATTCAAAATTCAACTCATTGTCTCCCCCCTCAAAACTTTTCCTTCTTCCCAAGTTCCCTTAACTTTCCGGGGCACCACCATCCTCCAGTCCCCAGACTCACAACCTAGGTGTCATTCCTGACTCTTCTTTCTCACTCCCCATATCTAGCACTGTGACATCCTTCATGTGTGTCCTCTTCTCTCTGACACTGCCACCACCCTGCTGATGGCCAGTCTGCCTGCTACAACCCTCTCCCCACTCCATCCATCCATCCATTCATCCATCCATTCATCCATCCATCCATCCATCCATCCATCCATCCTCCACTCAGCTGTTCAATTGATCTTTGGTCTGACCATAAAACCTCCCTATTCAATAAACTCCAGTGGCTCTCTATTACCCCCAGGATCCAATGTGAAATCATCTGTTTGACTTTTAAAGCCCTTCATAACCTGACCTCTTCCTGGCTTTCTAGTATTGTTATTCCTTACTGCCCTCCTCATACTCTGCAATCCAGTGACGTTGGCTTCCTTGATGTACCTCAAGCAAGAAACTCCATCTCCCAACCCCAGGAATTTTCATTGGCTGCCTCCTGGCTTCTCTGACTTTTAAGGCTCAGCAAAAGCCCCACCTTCTGTGAGGAACCTCTCCCAGGCCTTCTCAATCTTGGTGCCTTCCTTCCCGCTGAGGCAGCCTCCACTTTGTCCTGTCTGTATGTTGTTTGTATATCATGTCATCTCCTCCATTTGACTGTGAGCTCCTTAAGGCAAGGGTCTGGGTTTTTTTTTTGGGGGGGGGCGGGGGTGTTTGGGGGGCTGCCTTTCTTTGTATCCCTAGCATTAAGCACAATGCCTGGCACTTAGTAGGTGACTTATTGACTGACTTGAACCTTGACGAGAGAAGGATTTTTAAAAATTAGATGTTATGCATTTTTTTTACATCACCTCAATTTCCCCCCATATTCCATTCCCTCCCACAGAGTCATCTCCTGTAATGAAAAACTTTTCCCAAAAACAAAAAGAGGAAAAAAATTTTTTTTTTAGCAAACGAGGTCAATACATTGAAAAATTGTAACATTCTATGCGATGTTCCATATCTATCTCCCCATCTCTGCAAAGGAACAGGGGGATGTGTCTTAAGAATTTTAACCAGCAGTGATATGAGGGATGCAAGCATGGGATATGACCTACAATCTGCAAAAATGCAAGGAGGTCAGAGAGAACAGGATGCAATCAGGAACCAGCTAATGTCAGCTTGACTAGACAAAAGAAGGAATGAAGTAGGAAGAAAAAAGCCGCAAATACAGGAAAGAGGTAGATTACTAAGGCAGCAGCTAGGTGGCGCCCTAGTGCACAGAGCACCAGGCTTGGAGTCAGAAAGACTCATCTTTCTGAGTTCAAATCTGGCCTCAGACACTTACTAGATGTGTGACCCTGGGCAAGTCACTTAACCCTGTTAGCTTTAGTTTCCTCATCTGTAAAATGAAGAAGGAAATGGCAAACCACTCCAGTATCTTTGCCAAGGAAAGCTTCAAATGGAGTCACAAAGGGTTGGACACAACTGAAATAACTGAACAACAACAAAAGATTGCTAAGGGCCTTCGATGCTAGGTTAAGGAGCTGGTATTTTCTCCTAAAGATACTGACAACATAATTATGTGCAGCCATCTCTTTGTTCAGTCGCACTGTGGAATTCAGTCTACTATCTCCAAAGTCTTCAAACTTCTTTGAATGAACACATCAGTAAAAAAAAAAAATTGAGCCCACTCCCAATATATGTATATTTACTTGTTTATAAATCATATTTATAAATACTTTACTAATAATTATGTCTGTTTTGAAGCTTACACAAAAAAGGCACTTTAAAAAGATGAGCTAAATATTAAATAATGATTGAGCCAACAGGTAGTCACCAGAGTTTATTAAGTGGGTCGTGGTCAGATCCACATTTTAGGAAAATAATTTTGGCAGCCATTGGGAAGAGGGATTGAAGTAAAGAGGGAGACCCATCATGAGGTTATTATAGGCAAGAAGGGATGTGGGCCTGAACTAGGCTGGTGGCTACATGAGTGAAGAGAAGCAGACAGACACAAGAGATGTTGTGAAGAAAGAAATGGCAAGATTTGACAACAGATTGGGTAAGTATGGTGAATAACAGTGAAAATCTAGCATGACATCAAGGTTTTGAACCTGATCAGTGGTAGCATCCTGGACGCAAAAAGTGGGGAGATTCATACCAATAAGCAAAGACGAGGCAGTGCCTATGTAATCAAGCACTTAACTTACTAGCTGTGTGATTGGGCAAGTCATTTAACCTCTGTTTGCCTCAGTTTCCTCATCTGTAAAATAGGGATAATAATAGCACCTACCTCCCAGGGCTGTTATGAGGATCAAATGAGATAATATTTGCCAAGTGCTTGCTTAGTACAGTTTGGGGCACATAGTAAGTGCTGCTTAAATGTTAGGTATTATTATTATTAAACTATAGCAGAAGATTAAATTCTTTAAGAGGTTAAATCACAGGCTCTCGGTCAGGGGAAAAGATGCCCCCCTGCAAACTTTGAAGATGCATAAAGAGCAGGACTGCTGTTTCAATAGCATCTGATAAGTCAAGATGCTTGGGCTTTACCATGTACACCATCCTCATGGCCAAATGCCTTGCTCATTAACCTTGCTATAACACTTTTCATTTTTGAGTTTTTCTGATCCTCACAACATTTTGAGGCATCATAGAGCAGGGATTGTTCTTCCCATTAGATAGATTCATAAAACCAAGACAGAGTCAAGGGAAGGGATGCCCCAGATCACACAGTTCATGTAGGGAAGAGCTAAGACCAGAGCCTAGGTCTCCTTATTACTCGGCTTCTGTTGATTCTACAAGGGCCCTCTCCCCACAGCAATTCAGACGTCCTTTGATTCTAACTCTTGTGATATGAGAAGAGGAAGAATACATTTCCAAAAGAAAGGAGAGAGACTTACTTGAACAGGACTCCAATAGGTTTTTTCATGAAGGTGTGATAAGCGGACCATGGTGAGATAACATATCTTTCTGGGTAGGGTCCCTCTGCCCCAAAGAGGCAGGCAGCATCGGCAGGATTGATGATAAAAACAGATTCTGTATTGCCAAGTTTCTCCCTGGAAAGATGAATGAAATCAAGAGGTCAGAGGCCAAACCCTAGAGGTCTGCACCTAAGGCCTGGGGTAGGTAGAGTTAGATGTTTGGATCTAGGCAATGAATCTGTCTCTAGGACTAAACTTCCCAATTCCCAGCAACTATATCAACTGTACGCAACTGATCTCTCACACCTAGAGCAGAGGCATCAGACAAAGCCCTCTGGCCTGGCTCAGCTGCAAGCCTCACACTTACTCAGTGACTATAGTCATGCTAGTCAAACCTCCAACACAAATAACCTCACCCTTCCCTGCTTAGTGACTGAAACTGGAGTCCAATTTTAAGAGAAGGGTGAATAAAGTAACAGTCTCAGGACCTGGAATTCCCCCTTTTAGAGAGCATCATTAGGGGCTTTCAAGAGATAGATGTGATTTAACTACCTTACAATGGAAATAATGGTACCTGGATATGGTGCTTGTAGTCAATGAATGCCTACAATGTTAAATTTCCATATCACAAGGCTATTCACAAGAAACTGACTCCAGCCCTGGCACTCTATCCACTATGCCACCTAGCTACCTATAGAAGTATATACATAACATATAATATATAGAAGTATGTAAATTATATATAACACATAGAATATATAGAAGTATATACTTTACATATAATATATAGATGTATATACATAATATAGAATATACAGAACTATATGCATGTCTTATATATCATATACAAAGGTATATATGATATATAATGTATACGTAATATATAGAAGTATATACTTAATATATTATATACTTTATATCTAATATATAGACACATATACATAATATAGACTATATAGAAGTATATGCATAATATATACTATATATCATATATAGAAGAGTATATTATATATAATGTATACATACATAATATATAGAAGTATATATAATATAATGTATACTTTATATATAGACATATAGAAGTATATGCATAATATATACTATATATCATATATAGAAGAGTATATTATATATAATGTATACATACATAATATATAGAAGTATATATAATATAATGTATACTTTATATATAGACATATATACATAATAGAGAATATATAGAAGTAAATAGATAATATAGAATATATGGAAGTACATACATGATATAGAATATATAGAAGTATATGATATGTAATATATACATAATATATAGGAGTATATGCATAATATAGAATATTTATATAATATATAGGCATATATATAATATATGGAAGTATATGCATAATATGGAATATATACTATAGGGAAGCATGTATAATATATAGAAGGATATGAATAATATATCATCTATAAAAGTATATACATAATAAAATATAATATAACCACACACAAGGCAGTGGGAGGTAGGGAAATACTAGCAGCTCAAGGGATCCGGAAAAGCCTTGTGTCCAAGGGGATATTTGAGCACAGTATTGAGGGGAACTCGGGATTCTAAAAGGTGGAGGTAAGGAGGGAGGGTGCTTCAGGTGTGAGGCACAGCCAGGCACAAAGAGAGAAATGAAATTAATTATATAAGGAACATCACAAAAGCCAGTTTGAGCCATAGATTGTGTGAAGAGGATTAATCGATGTTTTCTGCTGTCCCTCCACCCCACCCTATCAGTGACCTCCTGTCTTTCGATCCAAGATTTTCAGGTTACAAAAAGTGAGACAGTCTGATGCCCTGTCCCCTAGGCTTTAAGGAGGAGGGAGGCCTTCAGTAGGACTCTCAGGCTGATACAGTTTTCTCCCTTATTTACAACAAACCCTGTAGTTCCCCAATAATCCTGTTCCGTCCACAGCCAGAGCATTTTTTGCCCCTAACTTTTTGATCCTCAACAAAGTGACCTTAAAGGCCAGGATGAAAAACCCACACTTCTGACTCCTGGAATGACTCCTTCATTTCTGAATATTAATAATACAGCTCATTTATTTGGTGGTTTAAAATCTTCAAAGGCTCTTGTTATCAGTGTCAAAACAGGAGGGAGGGGAGGAGGAAGAGGGAGTGGAAGTCAGAGGCAGACAGGCATTGGAGGAGGAAAAGGTAAGAGTATTGAAAAGGAAGAAAAGAAAAGGAAAGGAAAAAGAAAAAGAGTAAGACTTCTTCCCAGCTCTAAATTATCATTGCCTAGAATGTTCTCCCTCCCTCCATCTCTTCTAATTCTCTCCCTCCTTCTCCTTGCCCCATCCCCCTTTCTCTCCTCTCTCTGTCTTTTTCCCTCTCTCTCCTCTTTGTCTCTCCTCTCTCTCTGTTTCTTTCTCTCTGTCCTACCTCTCCCCTCTCTCTCTCTCTCTTTCTTTCTCCTCTCTCTTTTTCTCCTCTCTCTCTTCTCTTCTCTCTCTCTCTCTCTCTCTCTCTCTCTCTCTCTCTCTCTCTCTCTCTCTCTCTCTCTCTCTCTCTCTTCTCCCCCACCCCAGTGCAAAATCAAAACATTCAGCAAAACAGATCCAAGGTCAGTCAAAATACAAGCATGTTCTCCTCTCCCCTTCCATCTCCCTACTCCCCAAGCTCAAGCTTCATTTTCCCCATGAGCTGCCTATATGTTTGATCACTAGTTTAGACATTTGAGGGGTCAGCTAGGTGGCACCATAGTACACAAAGCACTGGGCTTCAAATCAAGGAGACTTATCTTTGTGAGTTCACATCTAATCTCAGACACTTACTAGCTATGTGACCCTGAGCAAGTCATTTAATCCTGTTTGCATCAGTCTCCTCATCTGTAAAATGAACTGGAGAAAGAAATGGCCAACCACTCCAGTGTCTCTGGCAAGAAATCCCAAATGGGGTCACAGAGAGTTGCACACAACTAGACAACAGTAACAACGACAAAATATCTGTATAATGTCTCTCCTGCCCTATAGGAAAATTGAAGGGAAAGGGGATAAGAGAAGGGGAGGAGAGATAAAAGGGAGGACAGATTAGGGGAAGGGGTATTCAGAATGCATGCCATCTTGGGGTGGTGAGAGGGTTGAGATGGGGAGAAAATTTGGAACTCAAAATCTTGTGGAAGTGAATGCTGAAAACTAAAAATAAATTAATTAATAAAAAAATGTATTTTTCAAAAAAGGTAAACATGAAAGAGAAATAATAAGGGATACAATAATGTTAAACAATTTATCTTTCTATATGGGTAGATGATACATGTAACCTCTTTTTTTTTAAACATTCATTGCTTATTTTTGTAAAGTTTTGAGTTTTAAATTACATCCCTCCTTCTTTCTTTTTCCCCCTCCATGAAATGGTAAGCTATCTGATATAGGTCATATATGTGCAATAATATAAAATGTTTCCCTATTAGTATTTTGTACATGAAGACTTAAACAAAAAAGAAGAAGGAAGTAAAGAAGGAAAGAAGGGGAGAGGAAGGTAAGAAAAAAAGAGAGAGAAAACTAGTATACTTCAGTTTATATTCATATAATGTCAGTTCTTTCTCCATAAGAAGATAGCACATTTCAATTTTCATCATGAATCCTTTGTGATTGTCTTGAACTACTGTATTATTAAGAATTGCCAAATCATGTATAATTCTTCATCATACAGTATGGCTGTTGCTGTGTACAATGTTCTCCTGCTTCTACTCACTTCACTTTTTATCAGTTCATGTACATCTTTCCAGGTTTTCTGAATTCATACTACTTGTTATTTCTTATGGCGCAATAATTTTCTAGTAAAATCATATACCACAAAAAAATGCCCCCTTTATTGTCACTAATCTCTGACTAAAATTTGACATTTCCTTCAATTATTTTAAAACACTCTTATTCTAAGATAGGATCCATAGGCTTCACCTGACTGTCCCAAGGGTCTAAGAAGATTGAGTACCCCACTCTAAAGTCATCAGGGAAATTAAAGAACTCCCCCAATCAGCCCCTCTTAACAACACTAACATATGCAATTTGACTTAATCACAACACAAACTCCTATGTGCTATAGAGATGAAAAGTAACTTGTTTATAAAAAGTCAGAAGAAAATTATCCCTAGGTAGCTGTCCCTGTGAACATGATCTTGCCTCTACCTTTCTGGAGGGATCTAACTTACCGGTAAATTGGACCTAACTGTTGGAAGCTCTGTAAGGTTCGGACATGCAGGTTGTGCAGCCCATTCTCCATCCAGAATTGGAGCAAATTCATCCAACCATTGCTTCCCTTTGAGGGTATCTCATTGTAGGGTCGGGGCCCCTGCACCCGGAGAGGGAAGGCACTCAGCTCACCACCTCTGACTGGCAGGTGCACTCTCCGGACATTAAATGTCCAAACATCTTCTCTTGATGAGCCAAGGAGGCAATGACGGCTCTTGGCCAGAGCTAACTGATGTGAGACTCCCCTTGCTAACATCGTCCCAGGTGTTGCTGCTGCTGCTGCTGCTGCTGCCACTGCTGCCAGGAACAGGACTATTCCTGAGTCACCCAACTCACTGTTTATAATAAGACAAGCTCAAGGCTATGTAGCTTGTCACAGCCACTGATTTCAATCTCTCTCTCTCTCTCTCTCTCTCTCTCTCTCTCTCTCTCTCTCTCTCTCTGTCTCTCTCTCTCTCTCTCTCTCTCTCTCTCTGTCTCTCTCTGTCTCTGTCTCTGTCTCTGTCTCTCTTCTCTCTCTCTCTCTGTCTCTCTCTCTCTCTCTCTCTCTCTCTCTTCTCTCTCTCTCCCCACTCCTCTGGATTCCTTCCAGATAAGGAAGTTTCAAGCTATTAGTCATTCAGGAGGACTGGATCTCAATCAGCCAATCACTCAAAAAAGGGGCTAAACCCAGAGAACAAGGAAATTTGATTAAAGAAATATATATTAAGTGACTACCATCTGTAAGACATTGTAATAATATAAAAAAGTGACATAGTACCAACCCTTAATGAGCTTATATACTAGTAGGAGAATATACAAAGAAGTGGAATATGAGAGAGGAAGAGAGTGACAGAGACAGACACAGAGATAAAGACAGACAGACAGAGAAGGAGACAGAGAGAAAGGAGACAGAGAGATAGAGAGAAATGGAATAGATCAACAGATGTCAGTAGGTAGGTAGACAAACGGATGGATGGATGGATGGATGGATAGATGTATGGAGCAGATATTTATTAAGCATTTACTATTTGCTGGCCAGTGCTAAGCTCTGGAGACACAAATACAAGTCTTTGCCTTCAATTGTGCTCTAATGAGGGTAGGGAGTGAAAGAGTCAAAGGACAGCTCCAAAAAAGTGATCTTAAAAAAATGTGGAAAGATAGGATATTGATAATAGTGAAGATCATGGTAAGTTTCACAAAATGAAGTAGTACTTTTTTCTAGGGCAGCTGGGTGGTGCAGTGGATAGAGCACTGAGCCTGGAATCAGGAAGATCTAGGTTCAAGACCAACCTCAGACACTTACTAGCTGTGTGAAACCAGGTAAGTCACTTAACCTGTATTTGCCTCTCTGTAAAATGGGAATAAATACTACTTCTCTGGGAAGTAGCATTCATGGGAATTCTACTTCACTGAGTTTTTAAGACTCAAATGACACAATGCTTTGAAAGTGTTTTGCAAACCTAAAAAACTTCTATAACATCCATTCTTAATAAAACAGGAAGACCCCAAGGCAAGGTGAAAAGAACACTGACTGGCTTCAGAGGCAGAGGACATGGATTCAGATCCCCCCAGGGATGCTTATTGCCTATGGGACCTTAGGTGAGTCTCTCCACCTTTCTCTGATTCACTTTCCTCATCTGTAAAATGAAGGGGTGGGACTCAGTGACCTCTGATGGCCTTTCTAGCCATTATCATGATTCTCATATGAATTATTGTCATCTCCTCTTCATTGCTTCCCTTTTCACTTCCTGCCCTATACAAGGCATGTTCCATCCAGCTACCAAAAGAATCTTCCTACAGCACAGCTCTGATCACATCATTCTCCTGCTCAAGAGCCTTCAATAGCTACCCATTGTCTCCAGGATCAAGTACAGATTCTGCAGTCTGGCATTTAAGGCCCTCCCCCCACAAATCTGATCCCTACTTACCTTTCCAGCCATATCTCACATTACCCTTCTGTGAGTCAACCACCTAAGGCTATTGCCAGAATTCAACATTCCATCCACTGTCCCCATGCATTTGCAAAGGTAGCCCATTCTGCCTGGCCCTCCATCTTTCCTCATCTCTGCTCTTCAGAACCTTCATCTCTCTTCAGGTCATGGCCCAGCTGCCATCTCCACCATGAACCTATCCTTCATCCCAAAAATGGGTATCATTCTCTCTCTCCCTTCACATCGGTAGTTACATAACTTGTCTGTGTATGTGGTTTATCCTGCAGCATAGTATATCATTTCCTGGAGGGCAAGGAGAGTTTAATTTTTGTCCTTAACCAGCACCAGGCACAGGATCTTCAATTTAGCAGACACAAAGTGAATGTTTGTTTAATTAAATTGAAGCTTACCAAAGTTACCTTAAGGACAGAGTGAACCACACTCTTTCTAGACCTACAAGAAAAATAAATAAATAAATAACTATAAGTACCCCAGAAGATCATAAATAAACCAAGAATTCTTAACCTGGGAGTCCACGATCATGTGTGTGTATGTGTGTGTATATAATTGTATTTCAATATAATTAATGTCCTTTATAATCCTATGTATTTTTATGCATTTAAAAATATTATTCTGCAAAGGAGTCCACAGGCTTCACCAGACAGCTAAAGGGGTCCAGGACACAGTAGAAGTTAAGAAGCCCCTCATTCTGCGATGGGGAACTGTAATCCTAAAACTGAAAATAAACTATATTCGAAGTCATGCATCTGTTGAAGGTCATTCAGGCATGTCGAACTCTTCATGACTCTGTGGACCATGACATACCAATAACTGTCCAGGAGGTTTTCTTGGAAAAGATACCCCCAGAAAATAAATAAATAAATAAAGAAGAAAAGAAAAGATACCAGAGTGGTTCACCATTTCCTTCTCCAGTGGATTAAGGCAAACAGCAGTCAAGTGACTTTCCCAGGTCACACAGCTAGGAAGTGTCTGAGGCTAGATTTGAACTCAGGTCTTCCTGACTCCAAGCCCAGCACTCTACCTACTAATTGAGAAAAATAAAATAAAATAAACTAGTTTTAAAAAGCACCTAGCTGCCTCTAATTAGTGGCAAATCCAAAACCTGAATGCAGATCTCCTGGCTTTTAACCTTTATGTTATCCCACCTCAATCTCAGAAACCAAAGTAATAATCCCTGGGAAGAGTAGTAGCTCTATTTAATATTATCCTTATGAAGAAAGATCTAAAGGGTAAGGTGAGGGGAGAAAGAGAAAGGCTGAGCCAGGATTTAGCAAGCTTTGAGACGTGCCAGCGTCTTTGCCGAGAAAATTATACACGGACTTTGTCCATGAAATCATGTAGAGTCAGACATGACTGAATGACTAAACAATAACTTAGGATACTTTACAATGAAAGATCATTGGTCCAGAAGTAGGAGTTGGAAGCAAACAAGTAAATAGGCAGTCCAAGAGACTGAGTGCAAGGGGCAGGGGCAGCAATATGTTGTCTACGTGCCAATGAGGCATGCAGCTAGCTTCTAGTGCCCCTTTCCACATCTGTGAGGGGTTCGTGGAAGAACAGTAGGTAAGAGAATGAGGAGGTTGGGGAAAGGATTCCTGCATTTCAGGTATCCTCCAAAGTTCTACTCGCTCATGCCAGACCCCACTACCGAGAGTTGGTGCCTTCAATTGTTTGGAATGAATTTGAGCCCTAGGGGCACCTGAGTGAATCCTGGTATACCTGGAAGGACTAGATTGATCAAGTCTCCATGATGACCCTCTTCAGATGCCTCATTATGACATGGGAGTGACCACAGGTTCTTTAAACTTCTGCCAAGAGACCAAAAATCTCTAGCAGGTCCTATAAGCTGGAAGGATGTCACATTCCCTGAACTCTCATCAGACAAGCTAAGGCAGCTTGGAGGGGTGACTAAGGCATGGAGCTTGGAGTCAGGAAGCCGTGGGTTCAAATTCTGCCTTTGACACTTCCTAGCCAGATGACCCCAGATGAGTCACTTTGGCTTCAGCTTCCACATCTGTAAAATGGGGAGGTTGGATTCAATGATCCCTTCTGGCTCTAAAGTCAATGGTCTTGAGAAAAAAGAAGCCATCACCTGATGTGGTTTTTGGCTCCACTGACTCATGAAGACCATCTACTAAGTTGTACATGGAGTCAAACCGGCATTGGTGGAAAAAAGATGTACTACACTGAGAAACCCACAAAGTTCAAAACTGTAGTATTTTACAGTTGAAGGAACCCTTCAAAGTTCTATAGAATGACCCCTTCATTTGATAGAAGAGGAAACTGAGGCTCAGAGAGAGGATTTGCCTAGTGTTGTACAGATATTAAGTGGCAAAGCAGAGACTGATATAGGCCCAAGTGTTCTGGCTCCCTGGCCAGTACACTTACCAGGCTACCATAAGGACTTATTTTTTTTTTATTTTTTAAAAGCTTGATCTCTTAAATTACACATATGTCACACATACACATGGAGGACTTCAGGGAAGTACCAAAGTATTTGATGGGTTAGACCGAGAAGTGCTATAACTGGACCAAAAGAGTCAGACTTCTGATGAGAGCAGAGAGGGAATTATAAATAAAGAGAGCATCTTTCTAGTAATTCAGTAACTCTAACCTGTATTTCTATTGCTCCTGGGGCTTTAGCATGTTCTCAGAATAATTCTGTAAGGTGGATAGGATACAAGGGAAGTCTGAGCACTGAATTTGGAGTCAGAAGACCTGCATTCAAATCTCTGCTGCTTTCTATATGTGTGTCTTTGGCCAAGTCACTTAACCTATGGTTACTCTACCATTTATCAGTTATGGGACTCACATATAAAATGAGGGAATTGGATTGTCAATGTCCATTCCCAGCTCAAAATCTTGAGATTTCCCACCTTATGCAGGGAAGTAGCTGAGTGTCAGTGAGTTTAAATCCATTTTGAAGGTCATTTCTCTTCAAATCAACAAGGCTTATACCAGGCACTGGGCTGGGTGCTTGGGACACAAAACACAGCTGCCCTGAAGAAGCTTACATTTTATAGGAGAAAAACAAGAAAATAAATGTAAGATACATCTCCTATCTCCTCACTTTAGTCTGCATAATCCCCCAAAGGACCAGGCTTATCCTTTTTCTCTATGCCTCTACAATGCCTAGGAGAGAGCTCTGCCCAAATGTTTGAAGCCTTAGAAACAGTGCTGATTGAGTGATCCATCTGTCAAGCATGTCCCTGTGGAAGATCCTTCAAGTCATGGGCATACAACTGGGACTTCAAGATCATCCTGTTTCAGCACCCTCATTTCACAGGTAAGCAAACTGAGTACCAGCTTGGAGAAGAGACCTGTCCAAAAGCATAGATCATAGACCTCTCATCTTCCAATGTCATACGTTGGAATGACTGGACTACCAGTTCGAAGTTCTTCCCACTTCATCATCCTCCTGGGATTCCACAACCTCTTAACCTCACAGGGTCTATGATGACGCCAGCTCTGTCCCGGCTCACAACCCTATGAGGTCAAGAATTCAGCCTTCCTCTCTATGCTTGTGTGCCATTGGCGTCTGGACACAAGGTCATATTACCTTGAGCTTTAGTGCCACCTCATGGCAGAATGTTTAATTTCAAAGGAAGGTTGCTTTTTTATTTGGTTCATTGGTTTGGTTTTCAGCTTGACCCCAAAACACACAATTATTGGCAAGTGGTGGAAGTTACAGGCTAGATTTTCCACAATTAGAAGAAGGCAACATGCATGCGAGGGAAAGAATGCTGAGTGTGGGACTAAGGGACCTGGTATTTAATCCTGGGTCCGCCACTTATTACCTGTGAAACCTTGGACAATCAAATTTACCTCTCTGAGCCTCAGTTTCCTCATTTATAAAATGAAAAGTTTGAACAAAATGGCCTCTGGGTCCTTCCCAGGTTCAAGTCCATGACCTGTAATTGTGAAATGTTATAGTGCTGGAGGAACTGAATGACGTACATAAATATTCTTGCTATTAGTGGAATGAGAAGACCAAAAAATTGCAGCTAAATAATAAGTGGTTATTGATTGACTAATAGAAATGGATGCCAGAGCTGCTGATTTCCACATGAATGCACCTATATTTAGACAGAATAAAATGGTGGGGCAGACCTTACACAGCCCTTAATGCTAACTATACGTAGTAAAGTGAAGTGGTTTAAGACTAATAGGATCTGGGTGACTAATTAAGTTGTGTGACCATAGTAAGTCACTTTGCATCTTTTTGTTCCAGTATTTCTCCTCTGCATAATGGGATGGGCATAAATGATCTCTAAAATCTCTTAAAAGTGGAATCCACTTATGAGGTAGTGAGTTCCCGATCAATACAAATCTTCAGTCAGAGGCTGTATTCTCTCTTGCCAAGTATGTTGTTTTGGGGATTCCTATTTAAGTAATGGACTGAACTCAAAATCTAAGGTACTGAGATTCTGTATATTAGAAAGTAAGATTCTTCAGGAGTGGGACTTTTTTTAACCTTTATTTGTGTTCCTGGGGCTTAGAACAGTGCGTGGAACATTGTAAACATCTCATAAATGACTGTTAAATGACTGGTGGAATGTTAGTATCAAGACTAGAGATGACTTTCATGGAGAAACTCTCATTATAATATAACACCTTGACAATCTGAAATATAAGGGATTCAGCAGTAGATGCATTTGAAACTCTACTCCTTTGACCAAGAAGAGGGGGTTGTTCTAGTTCAAGTGAAATGCTCTCACAGGCTGTTAGGGTACTGTGACAATCAATGGTCACTCTGCTGCCTGGAGGTAAGAATAATGATGATGCCAATAAAAGAACCAGAGGCAATAGGATTTTCCCACAACCTGCCTTTTATGAAATGGGAAAATGGATAAAAAGAAGGATAAAAGGTAAAGACCCAAGCAAAAATACAAATAATGCCTAGAAGAGGTGGACAGAGTAGTCTCTCTGGCTCTGCTCTGCCCTGACTACATCTGGAGTACAGTGTTCAGTTCTGGGCACCACATTTTAGAAAGGATATAACAGGGGCATGCTGGAACCATCTTCTACTAAGTGCTGATTGTTAAATCACAAGTGCTGATTGTTAAATTTTCACTGTGAGCATTTACACTTCAGAAATTGACAAGTGCTACAAATCAGAACTTTATTGTTTTGTTGATTGTCTAGACTTAAGAAAAGCATGGAGAGAATATTAATAATTCCAATTAAAGGGGCAGCCAGGTGGCACAGTGGATACAGCACCGGCTCTAGAGTCAGGAGGACCTGATTTCAAATCTGGCCTCAGACACTTGACACTTTGTGTGACCCTAGGCAAGTCACTTAACCCCATTGCTTAGTCAAAAAAAAATAGCGAGAACCAAGATGGCGGAGTAAAAAGATAGTCACTCTCACCCTCTCCTATCAACCTCTGAAAACCCAGAAAATATCACCCCCAGAAAAAAAAACCCTGGAACAGCTGAACTAGAAGAAAGACGGGGAACAGTAATGCAGCAGCCCAGCAAATGGGTCTCCCAGTGCTTCAGCAAAAATTGGGCAAATGGAAGCTAACAACTCTATGAGAGAGCAAGAGTCAGTCAAACAAAAACAAAAGAATAAAAAAAAAGATGAAAATGTAAAATACCTCATTGGTAAAACAACTAACCTGGAAAATCAATCCAGGAGAGACAATTTAAAAGTTATTGGACTACCTGAAAATCATGATGAAAAAAAGAGCCTGGACAGTATCTTTCAGGAAATCATAAAGGAAAACTGCCCAGAAGTCCTAGAACCAGAAGGTAAAATAACCATAGAAAGAATACACCACTCACCACCTGAAAGAGATCCCAAATTGACAACACCAAGGAATATAGTAGCAAAATTCTGAAATTATCAGATGAAAGAGAAGGTGCTGCAAGCAGCCAGAAAAAAACAATTTAAATATCATGGAACCACAGTCAGGATTACACAGGACCTTGCAGCTTCTACATTAAAAGACCACAGGCATGGAATATGATATTCCATGAGGCAAAGGAGCTTGAATTGCAGCCAAGGATCAACTACCCTGCAAAAATGAACATGATGTTTCTTTTTCTTTTTTTTCTTTTTTTTGCTTTTAGGCAATTGGGGTTAAGTGACTTGCCCAGGGTCATACAGCTAGTCTGAGGCCGGATTTGAACTCAGGTCCTCCTGACTTCAGGGCCGGTGCTCTATCCACTGCGCCACCTAGCTGCCCCAATATGATTTTTCAAGGGAGGAGATGGATATTCAATGAAATAGGGGACTTCCAAACCTTCCTGATGAAAACACCAGAGCTCAACAAAAAAATTGATCTTCCAGTACAAGATTCAAGAAAGACATAAAAAGGTAAATGGGACAGAAAGATACAAAATGTTGTTAATAAGGGCAGACTGTTTGCATCTCTACAAGGGAAGATGACACTTGCAACTCAAGAATTGTATTGTTATTACACCATGTTAAAGGAGTATACATAAAGGGGGTGGATATTAGTTGACTTTGATGTAATGATAAAAAAAAATCTAATCAAGTAGGTTAAATGGATCCAAGTAAGTGGATTAGTCTGGTCTTAGAAAATGTAATGAGAAAGGAGGAGGCAGACAAGGGTAAATTACATTACAGGAAAAGACAGAAATCCTATTACAGCAGAGGGAAAGAAGGGAGGGGGGTGAGCATTGTTTGAACCTCACTCTCATCAGATTTGGCTCAAGAAGGGAATAACATGATCAGTTAGGTATGGAAATCTAACTTGCCCTATAGGCAGTAGGAGGGAAAAGGGGAAAGAAAAGGGAGGGAGGATAGAAGAGAGAGAAGAAGAAGTAAGGGCAAAGGGGAAGAAAAGGGAAAGAGATAATAGAAGGGAGGAGAGACTGAAGGAGGCAGTGGTCAAAAACAAAACACTAGTAAGGTGGGGAAAGGAGAAAGGAGAAAGAAAAGCATAAACAGGTGGGGGAAAGGATGGAGAAAAAGACACAGATAGTCATAACTGTGAAAGTTGAATTGCTATCTTTTTTTTCTCTTCTGTTGAGTTTTGTCTCCTCTTTCTGATGGTTCCTCCTATTGGTTTTAATTTTTACTTACAACTTCACTAATGTGAAAATATGTTTAATAAGAATGTAAATATATAGCTTATATCAGATTGTGTGCCATCTTGGGGAGGGTGGTGGGGAGGAAGGGAGAGAAAAATTTTAAACTCAAAAGCATATGGAAGTGATTGTTGATAAATCAAAATAAATTAATAAAATAAAAAAAGATTAAAAAAATAATAATGCCAATTAAACTTAAGAGTGTGGCAAACATACTTTTTGGGGGTGGGGGGATCTTCTGTTTAACATTTATAAGCATGTTTCTGAACATAAATAAACCATTTAAATGTAGAGACAAGGATCTGGGGGAGGGGTTTATTAAGCAGAAACAGCTATTAAGAAGAACAGAATTTTTGCTTTCTCCTCCTAAAGTAGGGCAAGACAACAACTATCAGTCTTCCAGTCATAGTCACCCATTAGCCTCAAAGCTTCCTGCTACTACACTTACTAGTCCCAGGCTTTAAGCAATGAAATATGTACATGGTCAGGTATTTCAGACTCAGCCCTTATCATTTGCTCTAGACCCCTGCATCTGTGTCGTGCATGCCTGGGCTTCATAGAGATGAAGGACCACCCTCAAGAACACCTTAAAATCCTCTAGAAACCCAGGTCTACACACATACACACACACACACACACACACACACACACACACACACAGAGTTGTACATCTACACACACACATTCTCAGGCAAGATAATAATAACACTATTATTCAGGTTGTACTGAATATCTTCTCCCTTATTCTTCACCCCAGAAATGAAGGAAATACAATTCTGATGACACTGTGACTATTGCAGCAATGTTAGTCCTAATACAGTGCTCTGTGTATTGTAAATGCTTAATAACTTTGTTGAATGAATGAACGCACATACATGGCACCCAGGCATTTCAGTGGCATTTCTAGAAATGCAACTTGAAGTTCACAGGACACCAACAGCAGGTCCTGAACAGCACTTAGAATCACGGGATTTGGAGCTGGGAGGTGCCTCAGGATTCACCTTGTCCAAAACACTCATTTTTCAAAGGAAACCAATTCCAAGAGGTTACATGATGTACTCAGAATCACACAGTTGGTAAGTAGCAGAGCTAAGAATAAAACCCATTTTTTCAGTCTCCAAGACCTGCTCTTTTCACTACACACATTGCCTCATATTCATAGGAAAAATGGCACATCTGTGTGTGGGACACTGGCTGGGACTCCATCTGCTTGGACTAGGTCAAGGTGGGAACAAACAAACAGAGCTCTAAG